GCAAACCAAACCGATTCTGTACTGAGGTATGAAATATATCATGTTAGAATCATCTTTTATTAATTGCAATAAGATTTAAAATGTTTATAAAGTTATCCATATTATATATTACAAATAAAATGTATTTTAAATTATATTAATTTGGGGAATTATTAAATAAATAATATATTGTTTTAAATTAGAAACAAGTGTGTTTATTGCTTATAAGTCAGTCATTTTAAAAAAGTAATTGCGGTTAGACTTGAAAGAGGAATTAAAGATTTTATCCTCATCCCAGCAGCACTCTTGAGGTCTGTCTAATTATGATGCCGCGTTGAGGTCAATTTAAAGATTGCGATGCTTTGCGTAGTGACAAGATTTGTCAAACCGCGTGAGGATAAATGCATGATAACATCACATTACGAATGTAACAGTTTAAAAACTCCGCTAAGAACATTTCTGATGCCAAAATGTTTTAATATAAAGATCAAACTTCAAACAGTGGATTTGCAGAAAATCAAATCGATTGGCCACGTGACATATAAAAAGTTTTATTCAAATCATTTCGTGAGATGTAAATTATTGCCTTTCAACAGAAAAGGGCACTGAAGCATTGTTTACGAATGAGATTTCTGTAAAAGAGTTATATTCGGGTGAACGCTAATAGAAACACGATTCCTATGTCTGATATGTAATTTTAATTTATATTCATTAGCCTTGTTGTCTGCTTACCCGGTCAGGCATGGAATCGTACTGGGCTTGGATGACAAAAATGGCAACTCATTCTAGGCTGCTTTAAGTCTGTGCCACACTTTATCAACCGTATTAGCCGGAGAAGGGTGACGGGCAGTCTCTCGGCAACCTATGACCAATTGTTTTCAATGGGTGACAGATCTGGAGACGTGCAGGTCAGAGCAGCAATAAAATACCCTGCGTATCGAGGAAGGTCGGAGCACATGCGACATGTGATCTTGCATTATATTGTTGGAACATCGCGTTTAGCTGGCCTCGAACGTAGGGCACAATCATTGGACGTAAGACGTCATAAATGTACCGATCTGTATTCAAATTACCGTCGATCCGAACTAGAGATGTGCGTGTCATGTACCCAATGGTTGCCCAAACCATCACATTAGGTGCAGGGCCCATATGCCGATATCGAATGCAAGTAGGCGACGTGCGGTCTCCTCCAGATACATATACGATCATCAGAATACTGGACGCAGAACCGGGACTCGTCTGAAAAGATGACATTGTGCCACTCCTGTATCCAGCTTTGTCCTTCGGCCCACCAGAGTCGCTGTTTCTCTCTTCTCAAGGGATAACGAAGTAATGGTCGCCGTAATGATAGTCCACTCTGCTGCAAACGTTGACGCACCTTACGAGCGGATACTGGGCATGCTGCAAATATGCCCATTTCTTGACTAATGGTTCGTGATGTGGTTGTACGTTTTTGCAGGGCTGACCTCACAATATGTCTGTCCTCTCGGGCGTTAGTCAGGGGGAAGGCGTTGAGATTCTTCATGCCGTTCAGTATGACCGTCTGGGTTCCATATTCGCATGACAGTGGTTAGACGTCGACCAGTGCGATGGACGATATCACGGAACGATGGTCCACATTCTAAATAGGCAGCGATCCTGCCTCTATCGAATTCCTACACTTGCTGGTAAGCATTTATTTATTTATTTATTATTTTTTTTTATTCGAGGCATAACACGATATTCTGAGCAAACCCCAACCTGACAAAGCGCTTTCCGTATGAGAAATCCACTACGCAATTTTTCTTCAGATGTCGTTTCTCTTTTCTGCGCCGTCGAAATGCGCTGAAATACTAATCATTTGCATATCCGAACCTCTTCTTCCTTTCACGTGATTTTGAAGTTCGTCAGATTATTCCTTCCGTCAGATGGATTTGCAGTTTTAATGGCCAACAGTGTAATTACAAAAAAAAAGTTTCTTTTCTGAATACTATGAATATTTCAATTGATCTCAGGTGTAAAGGATAAATATTATATTATACATTTTGAAAATATTTTTATTTTTTGGTTAATGAAACTTACTTTCATTGGCGTGTTTACTGAGGCACTTGGATAATGAGTTTGACTTTATATAGTGACTACCAAGTGACATCAATTAATTGGATTATATTTCTTCAGAGGCCAGAAAGAGTCTGGTAACTGAAAATATTATTGCATGTGTATGATTTCATAATGGACTGAATGCACACGGAGCCGATAATAGCTTCATAAAATGCGTTTTCCCAGACGTTCTGGAACTTTCCACGAAAGTACTCGTACAGTACAACAGCAGAACAACGAAGCACAATCAGTAGTAACACCTTCAAACTGCTAAGAACATTAAATACAACTCAGTGCAAAGCTCATCTAAAAGACGAAGATCTCACGGAGATCTTTCGATACTCCGAATCAGCTCTGAACTGAAAACTGCGAACTGATGCTTTCTCCTGCTACGGAGAAATCTTTAATCTTCCATTTCTTGAAATTACTGGAAGGCATATACGGTTAAAGTTACGTATAAGGGCTGAATTATGTTACAGTTACATATAGTTATCAATTACAGTATAAATTGCAGTTATGTAGGGGACTGCACCAAAATATCGCCAATTTTGGCAACTTTTAGCGATTTATTGCCAAATTTGGCGACAAACTAAGTCGCTAAAAACCATGACTAGCTTGGCGATATCTCGCAATTTAGCGAGATAGCCATTTACTTCTTTGTTAAATAGACTTTCTTCTGTAATCTAACTTTTCCTACTGAGCTTCGCTCTCTTCAGACTTTTCATGTTACGTTATACAAAAGATACTACAGTTTCACATATAATTTCACCCAAATTGTTTACGTATATACAAAATTCGTAACAATAATCTTCTTTTATATGCTGAATCACTCTCTAGGAAAATCCAAATGTTCCTCTATAACTTTTTAACTTTTGCTTGATTCGCTACGAAAATTGACTTGTACTTATCTTGCATGTAACAAAACATGGTTTGCTTAAGGCATATGCTGAAAATGGCATCCTCTTAGAATTCAAGCATTTCTGAACGCGAAATTGGTGAAGATAGTAAGTAGTCTTTAGTATCTCTTACGAAATGAAAATAAAAATTATTAATAAATATGAAAAAGTGGTATTTATTAAGCTTTACATCTATTAGAGCAGAACCATTATATCCTTTAATAAAGACATGTATATACGCGATTTCGAGACGCATGACGGTGTCACATTAACGCATGTCTTCACGCGTACAAAAGTGCTTGAATACTGAAGCATGCCGCTTTCGTTTTATTATGCTGTTAGCAAGCCTTATTTTTGCGATATACATGATAAGAGCTTGCCAGTTTTCTTCAAGAACCATATAAAAATATAAACTTATTCGCTTACCATTGGCTGAGGAGATAAGACCTCTGACTACTAAAATTTCAACTTCGGTTTGAATCTTGGCGAATGAATGTTTTCTCCGTGAGTGGTATGAATAGAAGTCACACATTCAAAACATTTCGGAAGAACGATTGTTTAATCGTTGCTCTGTGACATGATATAAAACAACCAAACACCACAGATCAGTTTGGGGCTACCATATAAAGTAGCGAAAATGTTTTTCCATTTTCCGTGATTCGATGTTGATAGCTAATCGGTTGGAAACGAACGGGTTGCTCTTTTTTTTTTTTTTTTTTTTTTTTTTTTTTTTTTGAAAGGTAAGGAAAAAATTGAAAAAATGTTTTTCAATGGTATACTAGGTAGAAAAATATTTTGAAACAGTAGTTCAGAAAATTCAGTTTGAAACAGTAGTTTGTCAGAAATAAATGGGTGTGTGATAGAAAGCATCCATCTGCTTATGTGCCCATCAGTGACTAAGGGGTAAAACGACTGAACATTGGTAGTTCGACCCAGTTTCTAATCTTGATGAATGAGCTAGCTACATAAGAGTGCTCATTGTTTTTACAGTGTCTAACATAAATGCGAGTCAGTTTTCTTTAGAAAGTCCTCCATGAAAGTATTTCTTCTCTAGATAGCCCTTGTGCGCTTTGCATTAATCTACACATTCCAATCCTCCACTTAAACAGATAACTCGCACATGCTTTGCGAGAACTGACTAAACAAAGATGAAAAGTTATTGAGGCATGTTTGGGTTCATTTATTGCAATAGATAATTTACTTTGTTTGTTTTAAAAATGGGGATATATCTTACCTGTTATCATGTAGAACTGAATTTTTTCACGAGTTTGTTGTTGTAGCTGCAATAAATGTGTACCCAGGAAAAAAGTTTTCGAATTTTCATGCAATTAAATTTTAGAGACTCTCTTCTTCTAAACTTAATCAATTTGTGAGTTTTATTTTGTTTTGTTTAAATTTGCACTCGATAAGATTTGCGATTTAAAACTTTTTGAAGCTGTTTTTATTCTAATAATGGCCATTGCGAAAAACTAATCTTAATTTTAATTATTAAATGTATTTTAATACTGTAATTCATCATGTGTAATTTAATGCATTAAAAATAAATAAAGTATAATTACTTTAACATAAAATAATTAGCTTATAATTTATCAGCATAATTGAGCTGATTAATTATTCGGTAAAAGAATTTTATATTTCCGTTTATTCTTAAAGAAAAAAAAAAAAAAAAAAATAGAGCCTTTCAGGTCCCTAAAACAAGTGGTCTCTAAACTATACCTAGTTGATTTAAATATTATATTATGCGTACATTTGCTCATGAGTGGATTACAAACAGTTTGCGCGAAAGCCAGTTCTTCAAGAATTCGAAACTGGCGCCTTAAATAGGAAAATAGCTGTATTTTTATGTCACTCTTTAGAAAATGGAAATTCTAAAATAAAAATAACGATTTATGCGCATGAGCTCTGGAGTGAGGGTTTTCGCCGATCGCGATGGTTCTTTTCGCCGCGGGAAAAATAGCAATTAGTTTTTCGAACGTCGAGGACGTGCGTGTCCAATTGCGCGCGCACTTTGGCAAACTGTGTAATTGATCGGTTCTTCCACAGAGGGCAGCACTAGCCGAGAAGGAAGTGAATCATCTGAAAGATCAACTGGCTGCCGCCAAACAGTCTCTCCAATTGGCTGATCAGATCCAGAAGGCTCCTGACATGGAGCAGGCTGTTGACGTTGTGGCCCGGTCTTCCCTAGAGTTGGAGCTCGCATCCAAGGAGAAGGAGGTAAGCCACTAGCGACATCTAGTGTTTACTTTTGGAGTTATAATTATTCCTTTGGGAACTGGTTGCATGTTGCGTGCGTTTGGGAATGCGTGCTGTCACTTTTTGACAACTTGCATTCTGCCATAACTTCGCGAAATGCTCGGTAATCCTATGTTTCGATTCGCAGCCTTCTTTACACTGAATAAAATTTTGGAGTTATTCTTCTTTCCAGTTGATAGGTATCTCTCGTATCATCGCTTACTTCATATCAACAAGTCACCATTTTAAAATATTTGCAAACTACCAATGTATGGTGCATGTTTTTCTTAAGCAATGCGATATACACAAACTTTATAATAATTGGAAAAAACTGTAAATATTTTTAACATTCCTGTTATACAAACATGAGGAGACGTTTATTTATTATGTAATTATATATATTTAAATATATTTCGAAAATATAGTTTTTACTACTTTGATACTGAATAGTAAAAAACTATTTCAAACTCACACATAAACGAAATTTCCTCCAGTTTTCTTTACAACCATACTTACTACAATTCTTATAGAATTGCATTTGCTAACAAGAAAAGAGATAGCGTTTTCTTTTGCTGTGGATTCAAAGTGTAATCAGCGGTAAATGTTTATGAAAATGAAATTAAAATTTTATATGAAGTAGTTTAACATATTACAGTTTTCAAATTTTATTACAATGAATTCAAAATTTAGAAAAAAGATTTTTTTTAACAGCAACCTTTTGAACTGGAAAACTTTTAAAATAATTTGCATTCCGAAAATGTTCATCATAACCAAAAGAGTTGCAGCAAAAATATCGGTTTAAAAGTTTTCCGTAATTTTTTTTTTTTTTTTTTTTTTTTTTTTTTTCCTCTCTTTTTTCCCCTTTTGCCTTTTGGTGTTATTTGATTCTGAAATTTTGCACTTCTTAATATTGTAGCTTGTAAATTTGTTTTCAAAATAATTAAGGAACAAACATTTTATTATTTATTGTATTTCTTTTATTATGCGCGAACAATAAACGAAACCTTTATCTCTCTAATAAGTAAATTATATTTTTTAAATACGTTAATTAGAACAGCAAGTTAATTCACAAGTTAACAATTAGTTAGCAAATTATACCTATTAGCAAATTATATCTAATTTAGAAATTTATAAAATATCGATCAGTTGTTTGTCGGGTTTTTATTGTTATGTATTTTCAAAAGTTGTAAAATTCTAATTTATATATTCAGCTTGATAATTAAAGATCGTAATAAATATAACTTTTTACGTCAAAAGAATTCTAGTCAATATGCCAATTTATCTAACAATATGAATAAGTTATACATTGTTATCTCTGAAATATTACGTGTAATATTATTTGAACTATTTTAGCATTATTTTCTGTAGAAGTACATATTAATGACAATTCTTTTATGTGGCAACAACTTCTTTAGTGTTAATATTATCTTAATCTATTTTAATGTTATTTTGTGTGAGACTATATATTACTTAGAATTTTTAGTTTGACAGTATCCTTTTTTAACTCCTTTGATAATAGCCTTGCTCTTTATAGATATAAAATATCTTTCATTATATGCAAAATGAGACTTTTGCTCATGTTTTCCAAATTTTGCGTATTTTTGAAAAGTTGTTTATAAGAACCTCGGACTGCGATTTAAAGCATTTTACGTTTCCATCACGATCGAAGCTTTAGTTGCTATTTAGCATTAAGAAAAGTCTCTATTATTTGACTAGTAAGATATGATTAACATAATTTAGAATTTTATCAAATATTTCGAAAATAAATAAAAACACTAGTATGACCATATTTTTTAAAACTATCGAAATTTATAAGATTTGGACATAAAGCGTTGTCGGTATACCAAATACAATGTAAATTTTTTGCCAAATTTCGAAATGAAACTGTCCGTTGCTTTCAAAAAGGCTGTCCATTTCAATTGTAAAGTTATTCTTAAGAATTTATTTATCATAATCTTTTTCTTTTATTCTTTCGTTTATCCCTTAATAGGTACTTTTAACGTTGCGTTATTTGAGCAGGGAAAAAAAATCACTCAAATTTGTTGGAAATGGATTTAATATATGGCTAGGTGAAATTCATTAAATAGTTTCATCAATAAATTAGCTGTAATTAAGACACAATAACACGCCGAATAAGTACTAATTCAGAAGTCAAACAACAAAAATCAGCGTTAATTTTCAAAATTTTCACAGGACTAGTTTCGATGGTTTTACCGAACCACCATCCTCAGCTGCAAAACCGCAAATGGACCGCAATTTTTGCAAAACCGCAGTTTTTGTTGTTTGACTTCTAAATTAGCTGTAGTTAATACTAAAATTAGAGGTGAGTTTATAATTAATAAAATAATTTAAAGTATTGTTTATTACATTTATATGAGTATATTTAATCAAAGTTTTAAGCAGCTTTTTTAAATTAGAGATATTGCGTTCTCTCTGATCATAACATTTTGATAAATCTTACAAATAAATAATTGAATAAATTAATTAATAAATTGAATAAAATTAATAGTTACAAAAATAAATAAAAAAACTGAACTGAAAAGTTATTCTTATGACTAAAAAGACTAACTAGTTATTCTTATGAATTTATTTCTCATAACCATTTTATAAATAAAGCTTTAGAGATTTAAGGCTTTATTTTAAATAAAGGTTTAAATACTATTCAAAATATTTACCTGTTTTTTTTTTTCCATTCTGAGAAGTTATTTGAATGAATATATTGTAATGATATGTAATTTCACAAGTAGCTAACTTCACTACAGAAAGTTTCATTCATTATTCTTTTTTCTTCAGTGAAGAGATACACTATTGCACTTTAACCTGTCATTAAAATATCAGTTACGTATCTTAAATATTTTATAACATTTATATTATCTTAAATGTATAAAGCTGATGTATTACTAGAAATACTTTTATGAGATTATATTGTCTTTAGTAAAACCAGTTCATTTAAACTCTCTTATAATCTTCTTTAATTTTCTTATAATTCTACTTAAATTGCAGTTATAACTCAACAGTAACTTATATGTCACCTAAAACAAATGCTCCCTTAGAAAATATTAGTAGAAGACAGTTACTATCACAAAAATAATTACAAATGCACCTGATTAGAGTATAAGTGATGCCACTATAACAAACATTTTTGAGTATAAAAAAGATAAAACCCATGCAAAGTTCTCGGAAAAATGGTTAGGTGTACTAACTTTTCTGGTTATTCTGTAAATGCTTGTTAATAGAACCATTGCAATATTGTTTCAGATTCACATACGTTGTAGCTTATTAGCAGTGGTTCGAAAAAATTAGCTAGACATCATAAATTAAAATTAATCAATGCTTACATGACATACGCATTCAGTGTAAAATTGTGCTTGTGTATCCACGATTTTAGTTATCTATTGTTTACCGTGGTCTTCAAAATGAGTTTTGGAAAATGAAAGAAATAAATGATTTATAATTTAATAAACGGGTTTCAAGCGACAATAGTGACAAATTTAAGTGGTGATACAGCAGTCCAAACGCCCCGAATTCAGTCTTTCTTCGCAATTCCGATCATATGAGCAGAAACATGCTTGCGTGATATGGAGCAATGTTCCATTATTTATGCATTGCTTTGATACCAAACATCTGCTTTATTGTTCATTTTAAACTGTGCATGGTACTTTACAGCTTAGGTATAGTGCTTTTTCATTGCTTTATTATCTTTTGAGAATAAGAACAGAACGTCAGAATTCGCGGCTTTCATATTCGCGGAAACTAAGTAATATACAATGCAAAATGAAAATTAATATGAATATGATAATTATTATACATGCCACACTATCAAGCACTTTATCATTATTTCATTTACTGTTGGTAATATTTTATTGAGCGTACTTGTCAAATATACCAGGTCGATTATATGCTGCATTTATCGCTTCCTATAAAGCGTTCAGCATTATTCGCAGCTTCATGTAGCAGCGACATTCATTATAACGTACGATCCACATATTATAGAACAAAACTCTATGTTAAAAGTAATTGAATTGTACATTAAAATATGACATAGACCCTTTCCAACTGCTCTGCATTATGACGTTATTCCAAATTTGGCGAAAATGGTGAAGAATAATGTCGTAAAGATGATTAAAATTATTCTAATCTCTACCTTAAGTTGACTAAGCTACATAAAAGTATTTGAATTCGTTATATGCGTTCTCATTTTTATAACATGGCTAGAAATCTGAAAGCCGTGAGGCGAACCTTAAAATTAAATAATAATAATAAAATAAAAAAAAGGAGGAAAATTTTTAAACTGTAATAATATTTTTCATAAATTTAGGACTTCAAAACAATATCTGGCAATGGTAGCCATTGTTGACTTGAGACGTTCTTTATCCAAGGAATTTCCAATAGTTCGTATTAGAATTTCAGTTTCTCACTTTTGACTTGCTCGTCGAGTGTTAGATTTAAGTTGTTTTATGATTCGTGGCTTATTTGCATACACCATTTCGTTTACAGAGCCCAAGGAAAAAAATCTTCGGACGTTAAATTTGGCGATCGCGATGACTAGTTAAAAATTCGAAAACAGAAAAATTATGTGGCTGACAAAATGTTCTCTCAAGAGAGCCATTATTTATCGTTGAAAATGTTTAACCAAGCGATAAAATGTTACAGCACCGAAGTGCGTTGCGGACTGTTGAGTCAAAATAAGAGATTGTTGGATTTCGAAGTAAAATTGAACAATTTTCGTCCGTTGCTTGGTGATGAAACATTCCATCACATTCAAGTCTTAGAAGGAGCGAAGGGAAGAGGAAAGAAAAAAAAAAAAAGAAAAATACAATATAAGAAAAATTTATTTACTATTTAAATCATTGCGTTAACTATATGCCACCTGTAGTTATTTCCATTTGTTTTTAAGCAAACCTGCTTCTTTTTTTAAAGATGAATATACATATTTCAAAATAAGAACAAATCTCAGTACATTACTTGCAAAAATAACGAAACACGAAGGGTTTGTATAGGTGATGTTTTGGTATTTAGTTCAAGAAATGATGACATGACGGTCTTTGTAAATGTAAAATGCTTATGTGGGAATAGAAAAGATTCTTATTTTTGATAGCATAAGTATGTAAACTTCTAGTAATATAAAGTACTTTTGGTTAACAACATTATACCTTTACATTTCTACCATTAACTGTTGTATAAAATTTCTATGAACTGTCCCATAAAAGGAGTTACCTGAAATCGTTTCACCTCTGTTAATTTTTGGATAAACGGAGCTCTGTTGTATTTTAGAAGCTGAAAAGCATTTCCGAATTTTCTTTGTATTTTTGTATAGAACATCATAGAATACACAAGCTTTTGAGAATGAACTCCCCAAAAAAGTCCAAATTGAATCTGTCCCTTCCAAATTTAATTCTAGCTATTTCAAATTTAAATAAGTAATTTTTCTATTACTTCAGTTCAGTAAGTACTCATGAAATTCTTATTATGCAATTAAAGAAAACCTGAGACTTTTCATTCAATATTTCAAGTCATATATATATAACATATATGTATGTGAGTGAGTGAGTGCACTGCTATGATGGCTTCCGACCACGGTCATGAACCAAACGGATTATATACCATCACGGCGGGGAAGACTCCAGAGTAACAAGGTTGAATATTAAATACTAATAACAGTTTTTACATATTGATAACTGCAAGGCACTAAGCGTTATTCTGGTTATCTGCTTTAAGTTCTGAACATTTGAAACATTATAATATTATCCACGGTTGTGTAATTAAATATACAACATCGAAAAGAGTACTTCGAAACATTTCGCCACCCTCCAGAAATTACCTGTCCACACCATTGGTAAGTCGCGACCCACTCTTTGGAAATCACTGCTGCAAGTCATTGAAATAAAGAGAATCTTCTGATCCAAAATTTATTAATGAGAAATAATGTATTCTGCAACTCTTCTCTCCCGGCTACTGGAATTCTAAATTCTTGCTGATACCTTTGAATTTTTCAATGGAATGCAACGCTTTATACCACCCATAAAAAGTATTCTAATATCACGGTTAGGATTACCTGTCTTGGACATTTATTCATAGCCGAGGCGAGTTCTCTTGCTATCAAACGCGCAGTGATTTGTTTGCTCCTGCGCATTTGTGTCAAGAAAATCTTGAGCGCATTTTTGTGGGAACCTCTTAAAGCAAAGAACCATCGCGAAATTCCTGCGTGCATTTTCTTTTTGAAAGTGATAAACTATATTAGGCAATTTCGGATTCCGCGCATCCGGACTTGTAGCGCCTAGATGTTGCCAAAAGAATTTGCATTAAAACTTAAAAGTCGAGCGAGGTGAGTGCGAGATTACAATGGAAATTCTTCGGCCACTGTCATCTATTAAAAAGGCGCCCTCTATGAAGGAAACTGTTATCTTCATAATCTCCAACCTGGTATTTCAACATATTTGTAAAATTCAAGGACTGGAAGAAATGTATTCTTTAATGAAACGGGAAGTGGTAGGAGCATCTTCATGGCTTGTGCCTTTCTTTCCTTTTGCACCGCTTTGTAATTGTTTTCTTCATTTCTCGACCTTGTTTCAGTTCATCCAAAGACTTGTTAAACCTTCAGTTATTCCACATTCGAATAATATGTATCTTAACTAGGATACTTTAGAACTAAATTTTCACCAAGTTTACACCAGGACAATAAGAATTCGTAACATCATTGTACGTTCTTCAAACGTTACATAATGATTTCAATGGTGTGGATGTAGTAATTTATGGACAGTATGAGGAACAAACTTCAAAATTAAGTTCTCAGACTGAAAATTGACAAATTATTAAATGAATGCACAGATAAGCTTTAATTATTTTTATAAAATGGATTAAGACTGAAGATTAAAACTACATTCTGCAAATTTTACATTTTAAGTATCAAACGATAATTGTGAATTCCCCTCCCCCTCCCAAAAAATTAGGAAAATTTTATGCTTTAACATTTTTCTATAGGTTGCATTCTATAGATTTCTATTTCAGCTGCCCAATAAATCTTTCGCTATTATTTCAGTTCTTCACAATTGGAGGAAAAATCATTCTCAAAGGTTCTGCATCCAGCATTTTTAGCACTGGAAGCAGAATATCGAAACAATTCTTGCTAGAATACTTTTAAAAATTCTTACAAGAGTACTCAGTTCAGAAGTCAAACAACAAAAATCAGCGTTATATTTACAAAATTAATTACTGTGAAAATTTTGTAAATATAACTCTGATTTTTGTTGTTTGACTTCTGAATTAGTATTTATTCGGCGTGTTATTGTGTCTTAAGAGTACTCAGTTCTAAAGTTCAGATTAGAATATTAGTTTTTTAAATTCTTTTCATTTACTTCTGTTACCGTATTAGCGGAACCACCTTAATAGAAGTGGCTAGATTTTAAAACGCGTCGAATTCTGGTAACCATGCCCATACTAATTCTTCAGTTTCATTTAGTAACGTCGCCATTTTCGTATACTTTCTTTTTCCGGTACTCCATATTGGGTTCTTACGTATTATTCCGTCGACCGTGAAAGTTGCCTGCTATCAAATTATGAAAGTTGGAGGAAATCTCGACCAAGGGTGCCCCAATCATTCATGTTAAATTCTTCGGCCGCTGTCATCTATTAAAAAAGGCCTGTTTGTCGCCTGTTTGTTTAATAAACAATCGTAATTGGACCCGCTTCGTAAAACGTCTTCCATCGATTTCTGCTCATCGAGAATCAACAGGGTTTAGATCTAAAGAAAGCGCAGATGATGTAAGTGTGTTGTTACATCACGGTTATTCCTAATTGGCACTAAATCACGCTGCGTGGCAACAGTATTAACTTCCAGGATTTGTCAGCAATGAAAGGAACTGTAGTAAAAGTTTTGCAGGAATACAGTATTTTCCAGCACAGTCGCAACAGGTAATAATTGCTATGAATCCATTCTCAAATCGATTTCCTTTAAATTTCCGCCTGAAGAAATAAAACAAAAACATTCGCTTTATAAGTAGGTTTATTGATTGATTTTGAGGGTAAATACTAAATGAAACTCAAAAAATACATATAATAAATTATTTTTTGCAATTATAAGTCGTAATTATTTTTCTTCTGTAGAAAAAACGCCAAACTGGGGCAAGATGCTATCGCTAACAAATGAGTACCAAAACTATTTTATCGTTTAGGTCTAATTCAAATAGTCATCTTTCAGATTCGTATATTATTTACTTTTGAAGCTCCATTCAGTGGTCTTATCTGTCCAAATATAACTCTATTGATGTTATCTACAGTCGCATGTCATATCCTGCATTTAATTTGTTTCTATATTTTGTCTTTGTTGCCACACACGTAAAGAAAGATTTTTCACTTAAATATGTTGTTCCGAATGGCATTAAAATGTTTATAGCTGTGTGAGAAACTTCCGTGTATTTTGCATGAATCTGCAACCAAAAATTTAGGCGCTGCTCATGCTTAAATTTAGATTGTAATGTCGAATCTGTTGATATGTCGATAAATTATGCCCTTTCTTTCATTTTCATTGGCAAACCTTCTGATTTATTGTAGCAATCGAATTGACTTTATCCAGTCTTACTTAATTTTTTTCTCCTAAAAAATATTCTTTCATAGTTTTCTTCATTTGAAAAAAAATGCTCTGCTATAACAATTTTTAACACTGTCGTCTAATTTCAATTCATTTTTCATTAGAAAACTGTTTAGTTTCACAAAGCATTACACATCATTCTCTTTGTTATGACCACATGTTAAGTTTTAAAACTAATATATATCTAAATCTATCTCTACATTTTTTAGTAAATAAACACTAGTCAATTAGTGTGAGTGCTTTATAACTTTCTTTTGGAATTTTTATTTTGACACGCGGAACCGGAATACTGTGTGAAGACCACTGTTCTAATTACTGTATTTAATTCTGAATTCTTATTAGAGCAGTCATATCTGAAATTCTTATAAGAGTATTTAATTCTAAAATTAATTTTAGAATTTTGTTTAATGTACTTTGCCAAAAGTTTATTTATAAATTTCTTGTTTATTATGGTAACAAATTAAATTTATGTAACGAATTTGCTATTAACAGCACATAATCTTGAAGTGATATCTTGCGACTTGTTTTTGAAAGCTTTTAATAAATTTCAGAAATACGTTATGTGGAATTTAATTGTAAAAATATATTGCTCATAACGTGTTTTTAAATTACTTTCAACAGATTTCACAGCTGGTCGACGATATTCAAAGGTTGCAGACTATACTCAATACTCTACAAGAGACAAGTGCCTCGAAAGTAAGTTACTTCGTTTTATTACAATAATTCGCCAAACTGCATAAGTTTGGCTAAATATAGTCCATCTGTCTTCTATAATTAATTTCTTTATAGAATGAATAATCTCGCATTTTTTTAAGTACACCTCGGGCACGCCGTAATATGCCGATTGTAAAATTAACTCTATTTGAGTACACTACCATTTGCATCCAAAATAAATATCTATTGATTATGATGAAATGTTATCATAATACATAGATTAAAATGTTTTCGATATGATCCTTTTTAATTTTATTCAGACTGTATTCTTGGCCTACCAACGCCTGAGCGGTAAAGTCGCTGAACACTGGAGCGGGATCAGGGACTGGAATTCCCTCGAGCGGGTTGGCTGCATGAGTGTTTTCATGCATTTCCCCAACGTGTTATGTACTCACGAGTCAGTTTTTCTTAAAAGGTCTTCCACGGATTTTACTTTGGCGGATACCAGCGTGTGTTCCAACGTAATCAAAACAAAATCTACATCTGCGCAGTCGCTTTGAGTTCATGTACTGCCAATTACTGCATAGGCGGAATACTCGCATTGACATTATATGCCATATATGTTTGTAAAAGATGAGAAAACAGAAATATCGTATAGCAAATGTTTAGTAATAAATTATCGTGACTGATTCTGAATTGAAATCCACGATAAGTCAAAATAAAAACGTTACAGGACCTATCTTTTCCGTTTGCGTTGGAGTTCTAAAGATATTAGAACTGGTAATTACTAATTCGAATATCAAGGTCATTAAGTTAGCATTATTTATTTGTATGAATGCCAAAACGTTCAGATGAAAATTTGCTTATCAGTTTCTTAACAGAAATATAAAATAAATAATTGGAAGAATTTTAATTTAAAAGTACGTGCAATCGCCTATAGAGAGTTTCAGTGTTAGGAACTAGGCGAAAATTAATATTTAATTGATGTGGAAAAGTTTGTGTAATTGATGTAAGTTAAATGCGTAAATAAAATAATACTTTTTAAGAACACGTTTTAAATATCTAACAGATTATTAAAATGAAAAATAATTTTATTTTTAGGTAAAGTACAATGAGTAATTTCACTGAAAATGTAGATGCCGAGAATGTATTACATGACATTACGTAGATAAACGAAAAGGTCGTTTGGAATATGATTCTTGGTTTAACCGTATTATACCAAATGAATTTTAATGAACTGACAATACATGCGTATGAATGAGCTAAAGAGAGAAAGAAAATTTTAAATATAGTTAAATTTGTAAAAAATTCAATTCAATATGTAAATAACTTTTATCTGTTGCTTTTTCTTGATTCTCTAAGCAAAGATTAAATCTGATCCTAAATCCTGAATAAATGAAAACCTGGTGTGAAATTAAAAGCTATACAATTTAGAAATTTTAAACATTTAAAAAAGAATCGTTGTGATCAATATGATTCCACACGCGTGTATACGTTTGGTGATTTCAATGTAAAATTATATTTAATTTTGCTAAATATCCAGCAAAATTCGCAACTTAATTTCTATAATTTTCGTAATAGTTTTCGATTAAAATTTGACCTAATATGCTATGTTCCTTATGCTTATTTATTTAACGTTTCTAACACCACAGCATACATAATTTATAAAAGGGCACGTCTATCATTACTCATAAGCAGCTGACTTCGTTGCAGTGTTGAAAATGAAATAACGACGTTACCAGTTGACGTCAATCATTATTGCTGAAGTAAAAATATTAATTACTTCGAAAATGATTTGATGTTAATTATTCTTTTTAATGATGATTTGCCGCATGATTTAATAGTTAATGTTTGTAAAGCCCCAAATTAGAGTTCAGAGTTCCAAGTTAGTTTTCAACTTTGCATTTCAACTTGCAACAGATGTTAACTTGCTGATTATTATTACAAAAATGCATAATCACCTGCTTTAAGTGATAAAGCTAGTTGCTTGCTCTTGGAAGAATTATAGCTTTTCTATTATCTGCTTAGTTCATCTCAAGTGAGTTCAAGAGGTTATAGGTGCTTGACTTTAGATCACTTCACGTTAACACCACATCATTGAAGATCATCCATTTCTTCTCTGTGCGGTATTTATATTTTTAGCGAGGCTTTAAAATTTATATATTTGTTTTAACCTGCTTTTTATTTACTTTTTTTTTGCCTAGATTGCTCAACTCGAAGAACTGGTCAACGAAAAGGACAAAATGATCGTTGAACTAGGTGAAAAATTGGTCAGACAGCAAGATTACGACGAAATCAAGAAAGAACTGAGGTAATTTCTTTCAGTCCAGAAAGATAATTGCTTTTATATGAGTGGCATCGCTTTCAGGAAAAGTGACAAAACTTCTCCCACGACTTTTAATGGAACTGGTTTCGCTTTGAATGGAAAACAATTTCACGATTTTTGGAATTTGAAAATATTAAATAATTAATAAACACATTGCATAAAAAATAATGCATTAAAGTGAATTCTTAAAATGAGCTGTTCATTTACAAAACAAATTCACAAAACCTTCTGCAGTAAAGAAAAGGAAATCATTAATCGTTATACATATTTAATATCAACGTTAGATAATAATCTCGAATGATACCGTGAAATTTTATGAAATTTTCTGTAAGTCATAAAGGTAAATAAATGCCTGTAGTAAAAAAAAAAATACTTTTAAAAACCATCTTAGAATAATAAATCACATTAAGTTTAAACTTAATGTGATCTCTTCTTATTCTCTGCATTAGTAGTTTTTGAATAATTAAACTTAACTTTTTCAATAATTTCTAAATAATAAATAATTGTAGGCCATTCTATATGCTATATAATTTTTTATTATTAATTTTTTGTTTTTGAATAACTATATCTTAACCGCATGAGCGTTCTCAGGTTTGCTTTCTTTAAATGATTAGGCTGTAAGTCGTCATTTCTCGTTTTCATAAAATTATTTAGAAATAAAGTTTAATTTTAACATTACTTTTTTAATTCTTCAGTATTTATACATGAAAAAAGTAAAATAAAAACGTAAAAAAATTATTATAGTGCTGACAAATTAGTTAAAAAATTATATTTCGTCAAAATAAATTATTTGGTACGAGTTAATTTCGTTAGTAACTTTTCAATTACTTTTTAACTTCCATAAAGTAGTATATCATTATTCTTTTAAGAGTATCATAGCCACTTTACTTGGTTTAATTTAGTTTCTCATAAAAGAAAGTAAAGCATTAGTTAAGGAATTTTAGACAAAAATTTACTGAAATGAAAAAATTATGCAAGTTACCATACTAAAATAACCAAAATATGTATTAAATTACAATTAATACTGTTGAAGTAAAAAAGTAAGTTACTGTACTGTTATGCTTTATGTAGTTAAATGTGTGAAAAAAAGGTAGACAAGAAGTATGACATAATTCTTAAAATCGAACGTACACGAGCCCTGAATTTGGAAAACAGAATTTATATGCAATATATTACTGAAATAGAAATATCCATGCTTCCTTACTGGCTTTTTAAAATGATTATATATTTTGAATAAGAAATAAGATACAAGGTAGGGGGTTATCTGATAACTGTTGGATAAATATTCCATTTATATTTATGCCTCATATGTATTATAAATTATAAAAAATAAGCAATATTTATACACAAAATTTGCAATTTGTGCCCATTAAAAAAGAAAATCTCATAATGGAGGGTTACCATTTTTTTTCCGTAGCGCGTAAAACAATCATTATATGTTATAAAATTAAAATTATGTATAAATTATATAGATAGGAGGAAAATCGATTCAAAAGATAAATTTTGGAATCTTAAATATTAAGGAGTGAATACGTAACAAAGTAGAAGCAGAGGAGCTACTAGTATTATAATAGAATTATCTAAAAAATGCACTTTTGGATTTAAAAAGTATTAAAATTAAATTTATATATGAATATAGTGAAACCTTGGTTGACGCACTTAATTCATTTCTGAAGGTAGTTCGTCATCCGAAATATTCTAAACCGAAACAATTTTCTCCGTAGCAATTAACGTAAAGTTAATTAATTCGTTCTCGGATCCTAGATTATTGCTTAGAAAAGAGTACTTTGTGTACAAGTTCGTAATGCAAAACCAATGGAATTCATTAACTCGAACATTTATACACTGTTAACGCAACTGTGTACGCGATATTTGCACAATAATAACGGCACCGCGTTGCCGATCTCTGCTAGGGACGTTTCAGTTGCTTCCATGTGAGAGCACGATTAGAATCTAATGTGGCATGAACATTAGAACATTATCCGCAGTGTATGAAAGCCGACATTCTCTGGAATACCTAGGCATTTTATAGAATGCCGAAAACTGGCCAGCAATGTTTGAAACGACTAACATTTCATATATTTCAATTCCAAATGACAGATCGGTAGAGTATGAAATATATCTCCGATTCATCACTTGCATTTTACTCTTTATTTGGAAGTGTTAAAATACGCGATTTTACTAAATTTTTCGTCAAAAAAAATCAATTTTATACTGAGTTGCATGAGAATGGAATATCAAGATATAGTATGGAGAAGGAATCATTGTCAATAGACAAGTAACAACGATTCGACGAACTGTCCAAATTTCGAGTTAATGCATTAAAACATTTTGTTCTTAACCAGAACTACTTACCAGAAGTTATAAATGATGTATAAAAAAGGCCAAAATGACTATTAAGAAGAAACTAATAATAATATTTAGTTGCTGAATCGCTGCGATGTAGTGCTTGTGGAAGCCAAAAGTAAACTGTTAAAGAATATGTCGCATACAGTATTACATCAGATACTCATGTACCTCATGAAGCTCATTTAGCTGTTGATATGGCAAATGTTAAAAGAACTTTCAAGTACAAAAGCAAAAGCGTTACATGTTAACAAAAACGAACCACGAACAAATACGTTACGTGTCATGCTATTGAACTGAGCATTGCTAGTAACAGCCTTATCGTGACCTTTGTTTCATGCTTTGCCTAAGTAGCATTTGTTATTCTAAAGAATTCGTATATATTATATACAATGCGTAGGGAAAGTAGATACTAATTCTCGTATTTAATACTTTGTCTAAAAACGCCAGGCATTCTCCAAAGTGCCTAAGTATTCTATGGAAGGCTGGCATTTCATCCTTTGTTGGTAACTTAAATAATAATATAATTCCACATTTCATGAAAATTCCAAAGAAATAGCTTAGTTCCTTAAATACTAAATAAATGATATAACCGAAAGGAAATAGGATTTATATAGTAAATTTGCATTTTGTGCACGTTAGAAAAGAAAATCTCATGCTGCAGGGTTACCTTTTTTTCTATTAGCCTGTAAAACAGTCTTCCTTGCTAATACATGTTTATGTGGGGAAAAGTGCATTGTCTGAAGGTGCGTGCATTGCAAAATGATAACATATTATATGTGACTTGAAATGTGAATAAATTCCGTAAGTACTACAATAAATGAACCAATTAATTTTAACACTGTCACTTTCATGAAGACAAGATGTCTATTAATGTTGCAAGTATTTTATTTTAAGTCTGGGGGGAAAAAGAATTCTTTCACTATAAGTAATATGCTTCGCGCTCCCGTATATAGTAGTTCCTAAAGTTCAGTAATAGGTAATAACAGTTGCTTGATCAAAAGAAGTAAAATTTTAATATATTTTATAATAAATGTTTAAAATAGTTAATAATAGTATAATAAGATCATGCGCATGTCCTTCAGAGTTTTGTATTTGGAATTTAACTTTATATGTGTTTTATTTTATAGTATACTGAAGTCTGTAGAATACAGTAACTCCAGGACATGGGAAGGTTCCGACGAAAACAAAAATCCAAATGACAAACCACCCGACCTCATCAAAGAAAATAACAAATCGTCACATTCCGAGATCAAGTCTATCAAATCTATAAAAACAGAAGAAAATGGTAAATAATCTGCTTCTTTCTTATTCTAAATCTCAACCGTTAAAAGTGATTTCAAACTTTGCAGTATGATAATTCACTTTTTTTGACATCCATTTAAATTAACTAAGTATGTTACATGAAATTGATTAATATCTCACAAAATGTTAAGAATATGTCAAAAATGTATTATTACTGCATATTTGTGCAAATTTTGTCACACGTATGTCAAAGCATTCTCAGCTTTTTAAAAAATGTTATAAATCTTATTGTATTATGCGGTATTACTTGATTATTAGTACATTAGGCCACATTTTGTTGTTCTATAATGTCCTCAGAGCCATTGAAATGCTGAGACTTCCTTCAGCAAATGCCCGTTTTGCTCAATTTTAACAATATTCGTGAGGAATTATGATATTGTTACTTGGCATGCCCCTGTATGTTGTGGTTAGCGCATCCAACCAGAAGCTTTGCGGTTCAATTTGAAGAGAGGAAAAATATGATTTTTCAAATTTCTCGTTCCGATGAAACCTTACACTCAGTACAGTCAGGTCAGGTACAACTGTGTGGGGCATCAAAACAGCATCAGAGGCAAAACTGGTAAAGCCCCTGCATACTAACCATCTGCCCTACAGGGGCTTCCAAGTGGCAGTTTATTTATAATTTTAAAAAGGTTGTAGGAAGTTTGCAAAATATTACAAAAAGGTTACAAAAAGTTCATAATAAAGATACACTAACTTCAGCACACTAACCATCTGACCCTTTCAAGGGCTCCAACTGGCACTTTATTTATAATTTTATAAAGGTTACAAGAAGGTTGCAAAAAGTTCGCAAAGAATGTTACAAAGGTTACAGGAAAGCCGCAAAAGTTATAAGAAGATTGCAAAAATGTTACAATAAGTTTCTCCTGGAATCATTGAAGGCGCATTATGAAACCAGAATTGATGGGTGACACAGGTTGTGAGACCTTGTTGATGCGGATAACCGATGAGGGATTTTATGTCTGTTATATATCTTTCATTGCTGCACCAATAATCTTTTAAATTTGCTGTCATAGTTATTTGAGTACCTAATGCGAAATCTTTCGGTTAGAAAACATGTAAAGAGGTGGTAGTGAGGATCTCCCTTTCCCCACTTATACGCAAATCAGTGACTGGTAAATTTCTGTCACTGAAATATGTGGGGAAGAAGCCATGATATATTACAAAATAAAATACGCTAATATAACAATGTTGTCATTGATCTCTAATAAAAAAGAATGTTCTGCGACCTTGTGGTTCATGATCCCATTGGTGTTGCCATTTTTTACGGGTGGCGGGATATTTTTATTTTATGTTTTAATGTAGATCTTAGCCATGGGGTTTTAATTTTATATCCAAATTATTCAAGCTCAGGTTTTCTGATATCATATTATGTATAATAGCACTCTAAAATGAAGCAAAATGAAATGTAGTTTTCCAATACCTATATTTTGATGATGCGTCTCGTCATATGTCCCAAGTCGTCCTTTAAGTGAGGGAATGTAAGGAATTATTACAGTTTTGCCATGCATGTTTTTGTAGCATAATAGTTAGTATATATGCAACTAGAAATAGACATCTGTATTATGATTCCCGATAATTAGACTGTTGCTTATTCTGCAAAAACATAGCAGTTTCTACAGCTTTAGCATATTAGCTATGACTTGCAGTTATGTTCAAAAGTATTTATAATATTGCAGAAAAGTCGTGGACAGGCTTGCTTGCCTAGGATGAAACTCTGGCAGTTATTTATTTCTAAGCTGTGTAAGTTTTCACGATGCTTCTTGACAATTATCATGCTTTGCTTACAGAAGTGATCTACAAGTGAAGAGAGCATGAGAATGAAAAATGTGAGTATTTATGTATTATCCCGTCGACCGTGAATGTTGGTTACCATCAAATCAAGGAAGTTGGCGGAGATTCCATCAGAGTTTCAATAATCATTCCTGAGGAATTCTGAGCCGCTTTTCTATCTGTAACACTTACAATAAAACATTCATCAGTCTCAAACAATCCACTAAACAGCCCTGCTGCGGATGTATTTCACCCGCTTCGATTTTGTGCGTCGTTTAAAGGCTTTCGTCGATTTCTAGTATTTTTTGGTCCTCCGATTTTACCGAAAGCTTGATTAGAACGCTCTTTACGAAACAATCTGTTCTCATGCATAGAAACACTTTTTATTTTTCTAATTTGTGTACATTGTGTGAGTCTATATTGTTAGTTATCTTATTTATTTAATTTTCGATTCTTTTGCATTCAAGATTTTTATGACTTTTAATAATGATTTAAATACTTTCAAAGAAAGAGATTATTTGATTTCAAATATTTATGTCAATTTCCGTGTGTAGAGTGTATTTAATTTGTAAATTTATGTTGTTTCTTGTTCAAGGCTCATCTCATAACTACCCCCTACGAAGCGTCGACAGTTTCGGTACGATGCTGGGACAAGAAATTGTTACGAATTACGCTCAAAACATCACGAAAGAAGAGGTTACCAGTCGGCCTTCTTCCCCTGTCACCAAAAGTACAGAAAGCTACCCGCTGTCGTCGGCCACTGTCTCCAGCAGTAATGCACAAGAAGACAGGAAACCTTCCCCTCCAGCGCTGGACGAGGCCACGTCTCCTCCTCTACAGTCCGCTGTCAATTTAACTTCTGAGCGGTCATCTCCTTCTGGCAACAATCACAGTTTGAAAGACATTGCGTCGCCTGTTAACGACAACTCATCCCTCGGCAAACTCCAGGACTGCCTGAGGCATAATATTGACAAATATGCTAATGAAACTTTGAACACTTTGAACATTGCGAGGTGTGTCAGGGAATTACTTAGCGTGCACAACATAGGCCAAAGACTTTTCGCAAAATTTGTGCTAGGTTTGTCACAGGGCACGGTCAGTGAGCTGCTGTCCAAGCCAAAACCTTGGGACAAACTTACTGAGAAAGGTAGAGACTCATATCGAAAGATGCACGCTTGGGCTTCCGATGACCAGTGCATAGGAATGCTGAAATCTCTTGTTCCAAGGAGAGGTAATAGCGTTTTTCATTTTAATGACGTTAAATTATTTTTTTAAATACAGTTCATTCATTCGCACGAGCATCAAACGTTCTTGAAAGTGATATTTTACTGATCAAAATGATATATTGTCTTTGCTATTGCGATAGTACGTCAAAGAAAAAACAATTTTTCAGAAGATGCGAAAAGCATAATAGGTTTACGAGGGTTTTAGTCATATGAAAGAGATGCTTGCACGTGCTATCTAAAATATATACGAATATCAAAAAAGTATCTTTTTAATTACTTTAATTTCTTGATTTAATTACTAATAAAAATAATTTCTTTTTAGTTATGAATGTTTGAATAGATAAAACTTCTAGCAGTCTCGTTTAAAAAACAGAATTTATTTATTTTTTTATTGCAAAGGGAATTGCTGATATAGCAAAATTTAAACGGGAAACCCAAAAAATGTTGCAAAATAATTCATTTCTAAAAGAGTTCGTGAACTAACTTCTAAACGGTGAACCATAATAAGTAAATAAAAAATTTCAATCAGAAACATTCGGATTACTCTCTAACATTTCGGAGAGTTTATTCCAAAAAGTTAACAAAATATTTAAAATCTTACAGAAACCATAAAATTTTAAGAACTGAAACCTGAACTTGGTTTTAAGAACTGAACTTGGTGTGCTCATTCCAATTTAACACTTAAAAATAATTTTAAGCAGACCAATTAGAATTTATTTACCAGGTAAGAATTATTTCTCTAAGAATTCATGATATAAAACATAAAATGATGTATTTAAAACGAGGTGTTAAAAACAGCAATGTCAAATGTTAGGGTAAAAAGCTGTCTATAACATTTTTTTTTTCGCAATAAATTATTTGGATGTGAAGGCATGCGCTTATTAATTAAAAAATAAACTTGATTATTCTAGATGTAGCTGTGTATTTATTTGATTGGATTGCTTGCGCACGAAGCTGGCAACAAATATTTATTACTGGAAAGAGATTTATCAGTGGTAAATAAAATGTTTCGCCCATAGAGCTATGGAAATCATTTGTGTATTGATGGGTAAACTTGGGATTACCGTGTAGAGACATTAGGTATTTTTGGAAGCAGGCAAGATGAAAAATGAGCAATCGCCTTCGCCAGGAATCGAACCACGGTCCTCTGGGAGTACCGGCCCACTGTGCAGAACCACTACACCACGAAGGCACGCTAAGAAGGCGGGAGAAATACCTTATATACTCCCTCTTTTAAAGGGCGACTTTGGTTTTTATTGGACCCAATCGCCAAATCCTGGGTGGAGAGAAAACCTCATCCACCACCGTTTTAGTTCGGGCGCCACTGTAGAGACATTAGGACTTTTTGGAAGCAAGAGCGATTGGAAAATTAGCAACGCCCGGGAATCGAACCGCGGACCTCTGGAATACCGGCCCAGTGTGCAGAACCACTACACCACGAAGGCGGGAGAAATACCTTATAACCGTATTATTTTTTGCTTAAACCGGGACCTTCTTTTCCTCCAAATACGGACAATTTGGAGAAAATACTTATAAGAGAGAATAAAACTTTTTAGGATAAGTACTTTTTATTGAAAAGTTTAAATGAAGAAGTTGTTAACAAAAAACAATGGACAGTTAAAAGAAACTTTTAATAACTCAACTGAACATATCTTATTATTAAGAAGTTATTATTATTTATCACTAACGTGAATTTTTTTTACAAATTCATAAAAGTATAGTTCATATTTCACTATGTCAGTACTATCACAAACTTTTTTCCAAAAACATATAATAATTTTTTAAATTCATTAGTAAACATGCTAGAAATTAAATTAGTTTATTGTACAGTACAAAATAATCGCAAATGACGGCTCGCAAGTTGAACTAAACATGTCGCAACAGTAATGTGACCCACTGTTAGGTTCCAATGTTAACATTAATTGAAACAAGCTATCTAAAAAATGAAATAAAAATATCTGTTTCTGATAAGCTGTTATAAATTCGGGGAAAAAAGTATCTAGAAAGAATAAAAAGTCTAAATTTATTAGGCCACGTGCTATAATTTTGAGGTAAAACATCTAGACAACATTAAAAGTGCTTAGATCTAGGTACAAAATATTTAAATTAGCAACAGTGAATGTTACAGAGGGGATATCTTGACTGCCAAATCACTGCTTTATCTGAGTGAGGCTGCACTATTTTTACTTGTATATTATTAATTATTAGTCACACTTATAAAATTTTGTCAAATAACCGGGGAAAAACTGCAAACTAGCCAGAACGTAGGGACCACATCTTCAAACCGGTATTGTCCCGGTCAAATCGGGCCGTGTTGTAAGCCTAGATAAATTTACGGTTCTTTTATTTGTGCCTGATATGAAAATAAACGCATTTACTTTCTGTTCTATATTCACTATATGACATAATTATTAATCATGGGCTAAATGCTGTATCAGTAAATCATACTTTAGCATCGAATCATCATTTATATCCGTCGAGTATCATAATTTATATTCGACTACATACGTATTCCTTAACTCCATATTCAAATTCGCAGTAAACAATTTCTAACAGTTTTTTAACCAACTAATTTTGAAGAATCAAAATGAAAATATAAACAACTCCATTTGTCACTGTTTGACAAGATAAATTTTACCTCCATATTCTACGCAAATCTGTTAACAAGATGTTGCTGAAATCTGATTTATGACTGCAAGATTGATAGGTGTTGAAGGCTAGTCAAACACATTTTGCTGGGGGAAAAAAGTGCTCTTTATTAAAAAAAACTGTTTAATAGAGCACCTGATGCATAAGTATATGATTTATAGCGTTTCGTTTTGATCTCTTGGTTAGTGTCCAAACATTTTTGAAAAACGAAACGTGCCCTTGAAGTTCATTTATTGCCTGTGTTTATGAAATATTAAGCGCAAAAAAAGAAAGTGAGAATAAATTTACAGAACATTCGAAAGAATTTATTGCTTCTATAAGCTTTTCGTCCAAACCTTGTGGTTAAAGTATTATAGCGGGAATAAATTTTAATTAATGTATTACTAAAAAAGGGAAAAAAGGAAGAAATTTGGTAGATCAATAAAGATTAGCGCAGATATTTTATATTTAATTCGTTTAAGTTTGCTTTTGTGGCATAAATGTTTTCTTCTAAAGCTGCATTGGAAAAAAAATGGTTACGCTAATTTACGATAACTGAAGCAATTGTTCTGTAGCTTCCCAAGATGTGTTATTTTATTACAAGCTGCTGCTAATCCCAGGTTGTGATTTGTAAGCAATTTGGCATAACATTTTCTACATTTACACGACTGTAGAGTCATTAGGTATAAGTAGGATTTATGAAAAATGAGCAACGCCTTCGCCGGGAATCGAACCACGGACCTCTGGAATACGTGCCCAGCGTGCTGACCACTACACTACGAAGGCATGCTAAGAAGGCAGGAGAAATATCTTGTATATTCCCCCTATTAAAAGAGCGACTGGAGTTTAAAGGACCCATTCGCCAAGTCCTGGGTGTGGAGAATCATCATCCACCACCCTTTTAGTTCGGGCGCCACTGTAGAGTCATTAGGTATTTTTAAAGCAAGAGTCATGAAAAATGATCAATTTTCGAATGCTGTTCGCTGTTCCTTATGAGAGCCATTTTTAAACATTAAATAAAATATAACGAAGTAAACAAGTAAGAAATAAAGCCAAACAATTTTTTAAATGTCACCAAAATGCAAAAAATAAAAAAAAATTGGTAAACGATAATTTTGTTTATGGAAATGTTTCGAAATTACGGAAACGTTTCGGTGTGCGATCACTTTTGTGGCGTGTTTTATGTATGCCTCCTTACATTTTCAATTTTAAATTAAAAAATAAATCAATATTAAAAATTAAAAACTTTGGTTTTTATTCAAAATCACATGGAGATGATATGAAAAAATATTGGGCTTTGTATTCAAATTCAATTTGGGTTACAGCGCTTTTTCTGCAAATTCTTAAAGTGTGGGAACAGTTTTAGGAGACACTATAGGTTAATGCAGCTTAGATCAACCTTTGTCAAACTGTGGTCGTCGAAGCTTGCCCTTGTAGTCAGTCTCCCTAGATTTTCAAAAATAGACAAAAATAAAATTCAAATTAGCTGCATACACTACACTATAGCTGAAAATCTGAAAGTCTCGAAATTATATTGATACATGGCAACCGTGCATCATTTTTTTTTTTTCTTCTAAGGCTGATATTTAATGAAATATATTACCAGTTACCCTAACTACAGACTTCCCATCTCAGCAACAAAAGAGGGATTCAAAGTACTAGGACTGTATTGTTTCTTACCAGCATGCATTCTCATTAATTCAAGTATCAATACAAATATTATCCAAATTACAACAGCCTTGTATTATTAAAAAGAAATATAAATTTTCTTTTAATAACTCATTATAAATTTAGAAGAATTTTAATAAATTCTAATCAATAAGTATACTGGTAGTAGCATATGCTAAACAATGTCTTTCAAAAGAGACAAGTGTAAATTGGTCCTCTATAATATTCTAATTTATTAAAATGTTCTGCATTTGTAAAACATTTGAGAAACACCGGCTTAGGATAATGACTGAAGCTTTATTTCTTTAACGTAACATATAGAGCAAGCAATGAAGGGCAGGGTGGTCTTACAGAATACTAACTCTACAAATATTTATAATGCGTATTATTTTGAAATACTAATTATTTGCTTTGCGTTGCTGGCTTTACATATTTTGCGAAAATAGAAATGGTAACTACCTTCCTTCTGGGTGTTCTGTCGCTTTAAGAATAGTAGAGTAAATTGAACTCGTAAAGTTATTAATCGCGAGTTTCTTAAACAAGTACAAATTTATAACTTAAATAATAGTTCTGCATAACACTTTTATTAGGATTCATTTGAGAAATACGAATAAATATCTACATTAAAACTGTGTAAAGGTTTCTGCATGGCTTCAAAACTTTCCATTTATACATAGTAAATTCAGAACGTTTCACTATTCCCATTCATCAGAAAGTTTTAAATTATTTTGTAAATGCCTTTTACTTAGGCTAAAGTTGTTCTTTTGCTTCGGCTACATTCATAATGTCTCCATCTTCCTAATTTCTTATACCTGCTAGCCTAGTAAAAAAAGTTATAATTGGTAACTCTTAAATGATTAAACTGTTAAAGATTATTGGATGCGTTAAGGCAACAAGAATCAGCATAATAGTCATAAATTTCTGAAATTTATGAGCATAACGCTGATTCTTGTTGCTTTAATATCTCCAATAATAGTTATTCGACGTGTGATTTTAACTCAAATCTTAATGATTACTTTATATAACAAATTAGTTGTTTAAAGACTTTTGAGTTCAGAAGCAACAAAGAGGGTAATGTATAACTTTATGTCTTAAATATTTTGTTACAATCCCAATGTAAAACTTTAATAATTTCAGTGGCTGAAAGAAGATCAACTCTTCTTTCTTCTCCACCAGGCAAAGACTGCGTCGGAGGCAGCGGAGGTGGCGTTGGACTTTCTGCGTACAAATCGGACGATCAGGGAGCCGAAGAGAGAATTGCACAGATCCTTAACGAAGCACAAATGGCTATGATGAAACAGCAGGAGCAAAAGAGCCCGACTTCCTCATTGCCGAATGGAAGCAATGGAGACAACAGATCTATGGACAGTTGCGATGATATTCGTGGTGATGGAAGCGATTCCAAACACAATCTCAATTCAAGAGAGGCCACATCTAATACGGACAAATCTTTTAGGAGATCGCGGAAATATGAGAATGATGATATCCCTCAGGAAATGGTAGCGCGTATTTATCAAGAAGAACTAGCAAAGCTCATCGGACAAAGGGTCGAGGAAGGGTTCAGAACACCCCGAGATCAGTTCGAGAGGACTCAAGAAGAAATTCGTCAAGCGCTGACAATATATCACCAAGAACTTACCAGGTTATCTCACTTAATGCCACCAAACCACCATCCGAATTCGTTTAACCCTTTTACTGCGAATGGAAGCTCATATAATCTTTCGCATCATCATAACAGCAATAGTAATTCTGCAGTTAATAACAGTAATACAAATGGCAACAGTCAGCCCTTACAAGAATGTCCAGTAGACGCTACTATGAGCAGCAGATCTAGGTCCGAATCCAAGATGACAACTTCAGGTAGAGAAGAACCAGAGATGCGACATCATGGAAGTGCCTTTTCTCTTGTGAGACCTAAAACTGAGACCACTCTGTCTTCTTCCATGAATAGCAAGTCTTCGACTACCACAACCACTTCATACCATCTCCACACCACCTCTCCCGCCCCTCCTGCGTTGTTGTCACTTTCCGAATCAAAGACATCGAGTCCTGGAGCGCCTCAAAGCGGTTCTGATGATTTAGTGACATCGGCTTCACCGCTGCAGAGGATGCAATCAATCACCAATTCATTATTATCTCAGTCCTCTCTGCCATCATTGCCCAATCCACCGCAGCGGCCAGCCAAGGCTGTTTTGCCACCTATAACTCAGCAACAATTCGATCAATACAACAATGTGAACACTGAAGACATAGTTAAAAAGGTAAGATTTTAATCAAAATAATTTTTTACTATACCATTATTTTAAATCCTTTAAATGTTCTTTCTTAAGATACTGGCTAGTATTTGTGATGTATGTGAAGGATGTATTCAAATTCGCGTTTGAAGGTCCGAAATCTATTTAATTTCGCAAATATAATTTAGGTATTTTGTTAAGTTCTCTACTTAAAAGCTTTGTGGACAGTGTCCGTGCATTTCGACCGAAGATAATTTATTATTTCTAATGTGCATGACGAGAATACAGGAGTAGGTCCGGTTTAAATTCTTCCTAATTTTATTAGTCTGGCAACAGTTGACCTTTGTCTTTTTCTCGAAATCGGCAAGAAACACGATGACATCATTACATATAGTAATTGCTGGATAGCTGATGAAAGACTATTTTCTCGAGGTTTATATAGAGTGGATTCTTTATCTGAATCAGATTGATGGTGACTGCCATATTGCTGGTGCTTAACCAGTCTGATGGTGATTTTTGCTTCTCCTTTGGATTTGCTTCAGTTTTCTGTTCGAGATATTGAATTTTAATTTAGATGTTTTCGAATGCCTTCCCTGTGCTTATTATTACATATGGTTCCCATTATCTGCAGCGGAGTAGAGGGAGCTCCTCTTCGGAACTTGACAATGCTATACGTTGTTATATATAGAATTTTCTGTAAGGCATTTCCAGTTTCCTAAACTGTATAGGATTATATATGTCCTGTTTTCTAGACTTCAATACTATACGTTTTTATGATAGATATAGAATTTTGTGTAAGACATTTCCTGTTTCCCAGACTTCAAAATACTATACATTCTTAATCCAGACATAAAATTTTCTGTAAGGGACTAAGTGATTCGCGCAATATATTTATTGACGATTATAATGAGTGTGACAGAGGACGATTTCGACAAACTTGGAACTTCTGAAGGAATTTAAAACAACTATATGCGAGATCACAATTCACTTTACGCCCTAACAGCTTCTTTACAATTCTTGACTACGAAATTCTACTCCGGTCAATTACAATAGTTCAGTCCAATGGAAGCGGCCAAGGGTTCGTCCAGTGTATGTGTAAAACAAAGTGCCATAATATGAAATGCCTTGTGGTGAAAAACGTAATGAAGTGTAGTTCGAAATGTCATTCAAATGTACCATGTTCCAACGAATAGGTTAATTTCTTAAATTCATATTTTTCTGTATGTGCTTTGAATAAAAGTTTTTAATGTCACTTTTTATTATTTGTTCAAAATAACATTTGTGCTTTTGAGGAATGTACGTCTTATAAATAATAGCCTTATCATGACCTTCTTTTCATAGTTTGCCTAAATAGCACTTGTCATTGTATAGAATGCTTAGGTATTATGAACAGTGCCCAAGGAAAGTATGTAATAATTCTTATATTTCATACTTTGCTTAAAAACACTAGGTATTCTGTAGTTTGCCGGCTTTGCGGCAAACTACAGAAATAATTTAATGTTACGATCTCTTTGGCGAGATTAAAAAACTTTGCTATCATGTTGCCATCAATTAGGAAAAAAATTTAGTTGTCATTAAGTTGGAACCATAAAGATCAAGCAAATTTCACATTTTTTAAATATGCTTTCTCTGATGATATCTATTAACTATTCTTTTTTATATATAGGTTAAAGAACAGTTGAGCCAATATTCAATCAGCCAGAGACTTTTCGGCGAGAGCGTACTCGGATTATCTCAGGGATCTGTCTCCGATCTGCTTGCACGCCCGAAGCCCTGGCACATGTTAACACAGAAAGGACGGGAGCCTTTCATCCGTATGAAGATCTTCCTAGAGGACGAGAATGCTGTGCATAAGTTAGTTGCATCCCAATATAAGATAGCACCCGAGAAACTCATGCGAACAGGAAGCTTCGGTGGTGCTACCAATCCTCAAGGCATCATGACTTTCGGTATTTTATCTTAAATTTTTCTCACTTTTTAACAATCAGAACCTTCTTAATAGATTAATTTGAGCTGTATGTTATGTTCATGAACTACTTACTGCCTACACTCTTAAGGAAATTTAAACTTCTGTGCAATTTATTACATTATTAGGTTAATTCACAGTTATTAATAAATTTTAATCTTAGAAAGCTTCTACTGATACTTGATAAATTGAATCTTTATATAAATATATCATGTTCATAATCTACAATCTGGTAATCTACAATCTAAAACTACAGATGTAAGGAGTATCTAAGTATATGAAGAGATTGAAATTGTCTCGGCTGGAATTTGAAGCCTACTAAGATATTTTGGATTTGCTATTGCAAATTGAGCTAGTTTATACTAAAGAAAGCTTCAGAAACCCTTGATGACATAATTTGACTTACATTAGGGCTTTAATTTCAGTATTGCAGATTGCTCCTTGCAGATTCGCCCATTCTGTTTAAGGTGGCACGTGCTCTTTCTTAAAATATGTGAATCCACAGGATATTGATCTACAGCCAAGGCAACAATACATCAGTATAAGTATTTATACCTAGATATATCGGATTTTAATTTTTTGTATGTATATTATTGTTTGTACATCGCTATATTATTGTTTATAGTATAATAGTATTGTATATTTTTGTTTGTACCCTTCTAATGACTCTTTCTTCTAGTTTTTTTCTTTTTCTTTTAATAACCTTTCTCCCTTTTAGTCCCCCTCTCTTAATAATAAATTTCTAAACCTCCCTCTAAAGAACTATCATCAGCTTTATTCTTTTTATAGTCAGTTAGTGATTGGGAGCCATACCTGTTCGATTTTAATGAAGTTTCTGGTGCTTCCAAACACTTTTACCTGCACCTGTTTGTACATCGTTAACGAAAGCTTGGCTGTCACTATGACAAAACGCTTACATTCCTCCAGCAAAGGTTTTAACTAGAAAATGAAGCCAAGTTAAAGTAGTTTTTAAACTCAGAGGATGTTATCTACACTAATGCGATTCTAGTTCAGTAAATCATGACTGCGTGCGCGTACTATACTTGTTTACTTCTTTCAAGACATTGCTGCGACCGCCCATCATGATCATCAGTACACCTTTTGCTATTAGTCAGTAAATGGATTTTCAAGTGATTCTGTATTTTTTAGTAAATGTTTTGCAAATTCATTGACAATGAGTTTTAAGAAAATTAATGATACGTCAAATAATGAAGAAGATTGTTAGGGTTACCACGGAGGAGGGAAAAAAATATTGTTGAAATGTGTGAAGATGGCATGTTCTATGTGCATGAAGATTGCCTATCGTAATTGCTTTTGATCTGGATAGCTAAACATTTATGTACTGTGTTAAATGCAGTGATTTATACATTTCACCCACCGCATTTGTATTTTAGCATTAAACAAGGTTATAATAGCAAAAATAGAATTTTTTTATAAGAACGCCTTAATTATTTTCCTTTTATTTCTTATTGAAAACGTGTGTTTGGTATATACAAGTATCTGGAACAGATTAGATTTTCTTTGCACTTTCGAAGTTTTAACTCTGTCATTTAAAATTTAAACTTAGATTTTGTGTATGAAGAATATAATTTGGATAAAAATGATAAATGTATTTCCTATGCATTCTTTTCTTTATGATTATAAAATTTATTGTGAATCACAGGTTCCAACAAACTAAGTCCTCGGCCCATGGAATCAAGTCTACGAACGACGGACAATCGACAGCTCACTCAAAACAATACACTGTACTCTTCCCACAACCATCCTCCTCGTTCCGTTTGCGGAACTCCGGACAGCATGCCTATGTCTTTGACAGTCACCTCTTCCACCACTCCTTCATCTACCATCCACAGCAGGAAAACACCGACCATAAGCCGAGGTTACAATCAGCCTTCCGTTTACGAGATGGCGGCCCTCACCACAGATCTGGATACTCAAATCATCACTTCCAAGATCAAAGAAACCCTCATGGCTCACAACATTGGCCAAAAAGTAAGTTATGGTAAAAGTCACATTAAAATTTTGATACTTACTATATACTAGCCAGCATTCTGCAATACACCGCTAAAAGTACCACCCCCGGCTTTGATTACTGTGAGCCTTTCGTAAAATTTAGAAGCTTTTCAAAGTCTTCTAGATAAATAATTTATTTTCTTTCCTTTCTTTTAATTGTAAGGTGATTTTTGTTTTCCAATGTTAATTTCAGCAACCGCATATCTTTTTGTATTGCACCACGTTTTGGAAGCTCCCGACCGGAAAATACTCATGACAGCGTTTGTTCATGTCATGCTAATTTTTACTGCATTGTGTGTTTTGTATTTACTAGTTTTGTCAAGAATTAAAACAGAAACAATCCATCATTTCCAACATGTGGTATTTTAGCAAACTTTGGGAGGTTCTAGTTCTCAGAGAACTCTGTACATAATGAAAGATATAAGTAAAAACGTAATCTAACCACAACCGACACAATGTTTAATAAGAAAAAGGAATCGTAAAAAGTCACGTGACTTCTTATTTAACAGACAGTGGTGTAGCTAGGGAAGGAATTTTTTGCATAAGACAGTGATAAGAGTTAATCAGATAGATCCTCAAGGTAGGTGAAGAATAATTAGATTTTAAATCGCCATACGGTATTAATTTGAGAAGAAGGAATTTTTACTGCAGATAAAGTATTCAAAGAAATCACCATGTGATTTCAACATCTACATAATTTTGTTACACCTTTTTTAGTCCGTCGAAACTTTTGAATGCAAATTATGAATATCAATTAAATTATGATCACAATTACATTAATAAGGAAGAATTCCTCGTTAATAAAGAGGTATTTCAGGGTTTTATTTTCGTTATTGCTAGAAATAACGAAACAGGAACGTGGAAGAGCAATTCTTTTGAATTTTTGCAGTTTATTCTAAAGTACAATCTCCAGAGCAAAGTTACAAATAATGTAATACCGGTGCGAACATTTCTTTCAGTTGATATAGTTGTTGTTGGTTGTAAGAAGTATTTTCTTAATAAAATCTATTTAAGAAGTATTTAAGAACCACAAATGTATATTTTGCCGTTAAGAAATTTTTCTCAGCTGCTTCTAAACTGTCTGCATAACAGCAAGAGCAATAAAATAGACCTCTAAAATGTCGTTTATAATTCTGCGAACGAAAACAAAACGCAAAACAATAATATTTTTAAATGTCAGAATTAAAAGTGTTTCTTCAAAAATAAACATAGAATTTTAAATTATTTCGCTCATGTCGTTTTAACATTTTTCGTAGTTATATTTTTGTATATCAAGAAGGATGGCAAATTCAAAGACCACCTCAGGCTGCAAACTCAGGGGTCGGAACGAGCGGCAAAAGTTCTGGCTACGCCACTGTTAGCAGATTCATACGGGGGGGGGGCAGAGAGAACTGCAGAGAATAACTATTTGATCCGATTTTAAATGCGACTGCTAAACGATAGCCGTGACAAATTAAAAAAAGCTGTGTAATGGGATCGTTGACGTCGAAAATATCGTCCAAAGTTGCCAATGGATTGTTGGCAGTGCATTATCGGATACCGGCTAATACCCAGCTACCAAATTTGTAGATATCCTTTGCATTTTTTTTTTCTTTTTGGCTTATAATAACAGTTATTGGAGTTCGTAGGCATAATTCACTCTGTAACTTGTTAAATTGCAATTTATATAAATTGGAATTTTTTTAAGAATATAAATAGGGATCGACAAAAATGCAGGTTTCGAGGGAACGAAGAAATTCAAAAGGCAAAAGCAGACTGTACATTACTAAAAGAGGTTTCGTCAGAATTTTATGTGTAATAAACTTTTTTTTGACTCTGTTCTGTTGTAAAGGAAGTATGAAATCCATGTTAAAAAGTTTTAAATCCTATGTTAGAAAGCTGTTGTATTTACCGAAAGAAAAACCATCAGTACTTTGCATATCGGTACTTCTGTATCGGTCACAATGCAAGTAGTGGCCAAATAGGTACACTCTCGCAAATCTGCCAGTTGTGACAAATCAAAAGTCACCTACATAAGAAAAACCTTAGCGGAAGAGAAACTAAACTATTTAAATTGATAACATTTATTATAGATTGTGTACACCCGTTGCGTTATTATCTTTGTTAATTTATTTTGAAGATACATTGAAATGTTTGACCGGTGCATAAGCTCGTAGCTTTTCGTTCTGAGTAATAACTTTCCCATGAAATGCAAAAGTGCAAAAGGTGCATAATAGTTGAGTGCTCATATTCCATAAGGTGTGCCGATTTCCGCGTTACTTGACGAAGGTCCTTGTGAAGATGTTGATTTAAACGATCTTCGTCAAATTCTAGCGATCCTCCTGAAAGTGGGTCATTAGCTAAGTCAAATCGCTTTCTCCGGAACAGACCGAATAATATCCTTGCTGTCCTTTTAGCAAAAGCTTCACCTGTAGTCGAGTGATTAAGGCTGCTGAACACGGGGAGTTAGACATGGGTTCGATCCCAGGCGAACAGGCTGTCTGCATTTTAAATTACGTGGTTTTTCTCATGTGTTATGTGAATACAAGCCAGTTTTCCTTAGAAATTCCTACTCGAAAGAAGTCTACTTAGGTAGATAGCCCAGTTGCGTTTTGCGATGTTCAGTTAACCTAACCTAACCTAATTTTCTCAACAAGACATTAGTCCCGTACATAGTAAACTAGCGCCAGAGCTATCGACTTGGCAGTAAGCCATATAACACTGAATACTCTAATGCCAGAGGGCATCTAAAAATCATCTACGACCACACAGCCGGAGTCAGATATGACAGTACCTGCTGCGCCTGAACGCTCACCGAATAAAACGATTGTTCTAGTCTTGTGAAGGTAGCTAATCTCCATCGTACTGTCCACTCCCAACGTATAAACATAGCGAGTGACCAGCTCTTGGGGGGGGGTGGAGGTTAAGTCCCGTACGCAGGAAAAATTATTTTCAGTGCTCTTGCTGCATTTGATTTTCAGTTAAATTCAAAGAGCAGAATGCGTTGAAAATGTTCATCTTTGTCCACTTGATCACTGATATTCTATTTGGCATTTCATCTTATTTCGTCTGCAAAATAGACAAAATGTGTTCGCAAGTATACATTATGTTTTCAGGAGCGCAAAACTATCAGTTAAACAATAACTATCAAATAGAGAACAACAAGCTCTCGAACAAAGCACTGCTTCCAACTCATAACAAAATTCCTTGAAATTATGCACCGAGGCGATACATTAAAAGTCTTTCACATATTTCTAACTAAACGAACCGTTTCATATTTATACACTCTTCTTATTCAAACCATAATTAGTAATTCCTTGTTTCTAAGGAGCATAAAACGATTTGGTGCATTGTTGCGCATAAAGACCTATTTATCTTGAATTCGAATTGGTATCGGACACCCATCTGTAGTAATTAATATTGAAAGAAAAAGATAGCTCATTTATGAAGATATTTAAATTTGTGATAAAAATAATTTTTCTAAACATTTTACAAGACAGCAGCTGGAAAAGCTTCACCTCCCTCCAATATCTGTGCCAATTCGAACTTTTAAGTGCCCAACTGGGCTAGTCAATTTCTCTTAGAAAACAAATCTCTCAGATAATTCAAATCCGGGATTAATTAAATAATAAAGAATCCTATAAAAAAGAAATAGTTAATTAAAAGCGTAAGACATATCAGCATAAACACGTTTATTAAATAGGACATAAAAATAATTAAACTTTTTCAATTTCTCTAGTGCGCCCTTTCTTTAAAAAAATATAAGTATATATGTGAATTTTTTATCCAAAATGGCTGATGCGGTCTTCAAATTTTTTTCCTAGTATTTAGGCAACATCTGTGCACATTACCATAGTACGCTAATGAACTGGATATCCAAATTTGTATGATTCAAAATGTCGTCTACAATATAAACTACTGTGCTGGCGATTAAAATTGTAGCACCAGGAAAGAATGATCTGATGAACGTCAAAATCACGTGAAAGGAAAACGAGGTTGTTATATGCAAATGATTAGTATTTCAGCACATTTAGATGACGGAGGGAGAAATGACATCTGAAATACTGCATAAAAGAATAGTGGATTTCTTATTCGGAAAGCGCTTTGTAAGGTCGCAGTTTTAGCCAGAATATCGTGTTATGCCTCTAATAATAAGAAATGCTTACCAGCAAGTATAGGAATTCGATAGAGGTAGGATCGTTGCCTATCGAGAGTGTGGATTATCATTCCGTGATAATCCACACTTTTGCACTGGTCGACATCCTACCACAGTCATGCGAATATGGAGTCAATGGGTTGCTGAAGGTCAAACTGAACGGTACAGGATCTCAAGGCCCTCTCTGACATTGTTATGTCAGCCCTGAGAAACCATACAACCACATAATGGACCAATAGTTAGAAATGGCCATGTTTGCAGCACACCTAGTATCCGCTTTCACGGTGCTCGACGTTTGCAGTAGCGTGATTTATAAGCACTGCGACCAGTACCTCGTCTTTCCTTGACTATGCAACATAGGTAGAGACGGTGACTTTGGTGCGCCGAACGACAAAGCTGAATACAGGAGTAGCACAATGTTTTAAACGAGTCCCGATTCTACGTGCAATATTCTGATGGCCGTCTGGAGGCTCCGAGGAAATTGCACGTCGCCTGCTTGCATTCGATATCGGCATAGGTACCCTGCACCTAGTGTGAGGGTTTGGGGAGCCAATGGGTACACGACACGCACATGTCTAGTTCGGATCGACGGTAATTTGCACGCAGATCGGTACATTTTTGAAATCTTACGTCCAGTGGTTGTGCTTTATCTTCGAGGCCTGCCAAACGCCATCCTCCAACAAGGTAATGCAAGACCACATGTTGCACGTTGTGTTCTGACCTTTCTTGATGCACAGGGTATTGGATTTCTGCCTTGGCCTGCACGGTCTCCAGATCTGTCACCCATTGAAAACATCTGGTCATGGATTGCTGTGAGACTGGACCGCCATCCATCTCCAGCTAACACTGCTGATGAAGTGTGGCATAGACTTGAAGCAGCGTGGAATAATTTGCCTGTTTCTGTCATCGAAGCCCAGTTCAACTCCTTGCCTGACCGGGTAAGGTCTTTTTTAGCTAGAAGGGGTAATAGCGTTTTCTGCTGATTTGGCACGCCTGTAAACCTCAAAACTGCTTAGAAATTTAATCATTTTGTCTTCATGCTATACTGTTTACGTACAATAAATATCTTTTTTTGTATTTGCTTTCCTTCATGGTGTTGCAATTTTAATGGCCAGCAGTGTATTCTACCAGTTCTTTGATTCTACGTACTGTATTCTACTCTGTGATGTTGCTTGACTCTCTTTTTTTCCCCAAAAACATGGTTTAGGAGCGTTAAATGTTCTTTTAATAACATAGCAGAAATTAGAATTCTTCTGCTGCAAGTGAGAAGAGATATTTCTGTTAGTTTTTTTATTAGTTGTAATATTTTTGCAATATTTACAAAGTTCTTCTTTGGATATATTGTTACGTTTAATTTTCTTCACGTTCGTACGGGGTGCGTGCGGATTTGGAGTGAATAACGACGACACTTAATGAAGTATCGACACACACTTTATTTACCAATATTAATCAGGACAGCTCCAAAACTCTTTTACAGTCGTCGAAGATTTCCTATGAACACGCTGGAACAATCAGCGACACAGCCTTCACACTGTCATGCAATAACGGTGGAGACAGCTTCACTGCAAAGCACCAGAGTACAGCTCCCGACTCTGCTCGGTCGTTCTGGGACCTCCACGTACTCTCTAGATTCTCCACGCTATAACTCGCGATGCACTCGACGACACACAGAGCACAGCTCCCGACTCTCCGGTTCAGTCGTTCCCGGAGCTTAACACATTCTCTCGACGATGCACTAAGCGCGATACACTCAGAGACTCTTCGATGCACTCGACGACCAACTCGGCGCTAGACTTCGAGACACTCGCTCAATGACTGACTATCAGCTCGCTAGACCAGGCACACACTAAAAGACTGCGGGCCAGCAGGGTTTATGTAGCTTTCGGCTTGTGTTCGAGAACATTCTGGGCTAAACCGATAAGAATTCGTTCCAGAAGGTTCTCCATCCGTCCATGGCATAGCGCCAATTTTGTCGCCAAATGTGGCAACCCTGCCTACCTTGCTATTTTATAGCAACCCTAAAACTGCTTTGCGGGGAAGCTACCTTACCGCGCCTGGACATTTCGTAACAATATTTATTATATATTAAGTTTATTTTTAATCGTATTGATTGGGTATGCTGTCAAAAATAATTAATTTAAATTATTAAAGAGGGAATTTATTACTTTTAAATTTCCTCGGTGTATTAGACAGTTGCAGACTGATTAAATTTGAATTATCAGTTAATCTTATCATCGGCAACATTTTTAGAACTGGCTTTTGTGGGACCGCGTTAATGATAAATTAAGGAATGTATTTTTTGAGCAATGGAAACAAAAGCTGCGTGGCTGATAAATACATAACATATCGTAACGAACGTAAGATAACCAAAAATTTCACTAAGACTGCGCTGAAGATATTTTTAACATCAAAACATTGCGAGTTAAAATGTAATGAATGTGATAGTACGTGAATGCTATGAAAAAATAAACTTCGCTGATATTAAGACTTCGCTGATATGCTTAACAACAACGTCATTTTTCTTTAATGTTTTATAAATTCCTAGAATGAAATAAAAAAATTTTCCTGTAATTTTTAGATATTTGGCGAAGTTGTTCTTGGCTTGTCTCAAGGATCTGTCAGTGAACTTCTTTCGAAACCAAAGCCCTGGCACATGCTGAGCATCAAGGGGAGGGAACCTTTCATAAGAATGCAGATGTGGCTCAACGATCCGCACAATGTTGAAATGTTACAGACGATCAAGAACGAGAGGAGAGAAGGTTAGTTGTTAAATACTAGTAAGCCCCCGATTCTCTAACCAATGGAATAATGCTTTAAATTAAAATGACAACCAACATACTGTGTCCTTTCCAACATTCAACTCTCGTTTTCAATTTCCATTGCTCTATATCGAATTTTTTTTATGTGTTGTTGTTATATTGATTATATTATGATTATATTGATGTTAACTCATTTAGCATTTTCACTGCTCAATGATTTCTCTCAGACTGCTTTTGATTGCTGTCTTTTTCGAAAACATTACTTGTAAATATAAATATTGATCAGCAGAGTGCATCCACATCATACACATTTTTCTTTCTTCACCCTTCTTTTTTTGCGCGATTTTTCCCCTTCTTCTTTCTGAATCATATTAACCAAGATGCTACTAATGCTGTAAATAATAGCTAAGGTAACAATAAATAATAACTAAAGTTGCAAATCAAAACAGTTTACTGAACGCAGTTCTTAAAATTAGATGATAATAATAAGTCTTATAGTGCATTGTATTGTTAGAGTCTTAAATTTCACAATTTTAAATGCATAAAAATACCATTTTATTTATTTTCCAAAATAAAAAATTTTAAATGTAGGATTCTGTTTAAAATTGCTTTACAAATCCTTGCCATCTGCAGCTTCAAAACAAAAAAAAACAAAAAAAAAAAAAAAATTAAACATTTTGATATTTTCAGTGTTTTCAGATACTGAATTAGTACATTTGTGTGTTAACAGTTCATATAAGTTTTGAGAATAAGTATGACAGAAAAAAATAACCTTAAATTTGGAATCTTTTTTACAACTCCAGTAACAGTTTTTACAGGTGAACATATCTGGAGCAAATCCGGATACTTTCATTAATTTGCATCCCAAATATTAATAGTATAGCGAAAATATTTAAAGAAAATATAAAAAAGTATGGCAACGTTTAACGCTTTGTAAACATAAACATTGACCCTGCGCCCACGGAACACATATTCTTTTCTTCTCCCCTTTTTTAATATATCTCTGTTATTTATTTATTTATCTATGCAATGTTCGAATTTCATTACGATGAAATCATCAGGACACAAAAACAATAGCAATACCATTGAATGAAGGAAAAGTAACATATTTATAAAGCAGCGTAATCATCAATACGATATCAGAAAGAATGCATTTCAAAATCTCTTCTCCACATATTATATTTCCTCTTTTTACTTCTTATAGCACAGATATGCCTCATATCGCGTTTATGCCATAAAGAGTTTTAAGTTTGTCGTTCACTGTGGTAGTCGTTAATTGCTTTATGTCATATTTTTCAACCAATGTGAAAGAAAGAGATTTTAAATTTACCTTCTGCACATTGTTAAATTTAATAGAAGTATATAAATATATTGCCTCTGGTAATCGGTATATAAATATATTGCCTCTGGTAATCGAATCTTATATTACTGTTAAGATTCTGAATTTATAATTTTAATCTAATTATGCCAGAAATTAATTAATATTATTCCGAATTTTATAAAATTATGTCAGAAGTAGGTTTAATTTTTTTACTTTTCCTTTGCAGTAGTATTTTGTTTCAGATAATTTCTAAAAGTTTAAAAAAGTTGGAAAGACTAAAAATTTTTTCTTATCCATGAATTCCAATCAATATGATTTGAAAAGAGCAGTTAAAAGAATCAGCTATCATAAACCATTCGAAATATTAGCCAAAACATTTGTATTTAAGTTCGTTTTATGCAGCCTTATTTTATTTGTTTAACAGATGTTACGAGACTGCTTCATATTTATTAATTTCTTTTTCTTTCCTTACTGTAGCCAATAAACGCCGTAGAACTGGTGAGAATCCAATGGACAGTCCAAGGAGCCAGTCAGAGGGAGGTCAGTTGTACAATAACTACAGCTTTGCTCCCCCGTCACCCTATCCTCCGGCCAAGAAACCGCGAGTCTTGTTTACCGAGGAACAGAAGGAAGCCTTGCGATTGGCTTTCTCACTGGATCCTTATCCTAGCACAGCAACTATTGAATTCTTAGCCACTGAACTCAATTTATCGGTACGGACTATCACAAACTGGTTCCACAACCACCGGATGAGAATGAAACAGCATTCTTCATCGGATGATGAACATGGTAGAAAAGGAACCGATTTATCTTTGCCCCCACCCGTTAGAGAGGGCATGGCTTTTGATCCAGTCCAGTACCGCATGCTGCTAAATCAAAGACTTGCGGAGAAATGCCGAGAGAAAGGGGGACCGCAATTTGTGAGTCACTTCGGAGGGAGCATGCCGTATTTGTATTCACCTTATCGTAATTGCTCTCCCCTTTCCTCATCAGGTGATGACGTTGGGACGCTGGACTTAAGTATGTCTAGTCAACTGCGAAATGCCATCAATAGCGGTGCAAAAGCGGACACCACAGGCGGTAGCAGCACAGATGATCGTTCGAACAGTGAGATGAACGATGACTCCAATCTTTCCCAGGACAATCTCACACAAGGTGATAATAGTGATCGCGAATCAGTAGAAGATAGTCAACCTCCTCATCGTCAGAGCTCTTCACCTCTAAGGCCATCTGCAGGTAGCGAGTCAACACGACCAACTACAGGTGTAGTCAGTACTGGAAGTAGCAACAGAAGAAAACCCGCGATGCCCCAGTGGGTAGATCCAGGTTTAGAACTGTCCCCAGAAAACACAGATGACGAAGAGGATTTGGATGATGATGACCAGTTAGGCGACGAAAGTGCAACTGAGCAGGAAGAAATAATCAATGGGGTTTGTGTTCGTCAAACAGAGGATTTCGATCTCCTTTTACCGTCTCGAGTAGAGACGGTACATGTGCTTCCTGTGCCAGCACCAGACGATAGATCCTCCTCAAAGTGCCACCCGCCTCGTAGTGACAATTCTCGTAGGACTACGGTCGCTAGCCCTGAACGATCAGACAATGAAATGGAGGGCTTGACGAATGGTATGAATGATCACGAAACTTCTGAACAGTGTATAAAAGACAAACTTTTGTCTGTTAATATGATGGACAGTACGACGCTCAAAAAACCGGTCTTCCTCGAAGAACAAGACGATGATGAGAGTTGGGATGACGCCGAAGCAAAAGATAGGCGTAAAAATATCGAAAAACTTCAGCAAAGGCTGGAAAAGGAAGATGTTGGTGAAGATTGGGAATTTTGAATTTTTTTAGAAACCCAAACAAATGAAACTTTAATTTAAAAGTAATTAATTTAAAACCAATGCCATTTGTGTATGTGCATTGTGTCTCTTTCACAGCATCGAATTCTCAGACTTAAATGAATGATGTCACACTGAGATGTGATGGACGATCATTTCATTGTTAAACTCACATATAAAAACCGCACCATAGTTTTCACGTGGACTTTATCCCGGTGTATAAAAGAGTGGCCTTAACTTCACTAATCGGAAGATTATAAAAATAATGATGTATGTCAAAGATGCGTGGGAAATAATGATTTTCATGACAATGACGATCAAGGCTGAGATTTTCTGCAATGTAATGTGATACATAATTCTATTTCTTCACTTTTACAATTCTCACGCCTTGTCATGTTTCAGCGCACGGATATTGCTCAGCCCGTTGAACAACCCCTTCAACAAAACGACAACCTTATGAATATATAAAGTATAGCAAACAAGCAACGCAATGAGCACGAGCTTAAAAAAATAATTTGTTTCTTCTGCTTGCAGCATGATTGCGTGCGACTGATGTCGACTTTGAGCTGAATGCAAAAGGAAACGAGTGGTCAGTGGACAATGCAGTACCTCACTTGTGTGTTTTTATGTGTTGTAAATTGATCTCTTCTCCCTTTTACAAGACGGTACCCATCGACCTACACAGAATCTATTATTTTCTCCGAGTAATAAAAATTAGTTTCTCCCATTTAAGGATCGTCCTGTCTCAAGATTCATGTAAAGCACTTATTATAAGATTGTAAATAGAGATAATAAAACAAAACACAGAAAAAAATGGCAAAAAGCACACTGCTATGTCAAACTGTTTGCAGTATAAATTGGAGTTTTTCGGAAGGAATCAAAAGTCCTAATTTTTTGCTTTTTGCTGCATAAAATAATAATAGCACAAATTTCTCTGTTTCTGTTACGTTTCATCCATTTTTCTCGCAAAGTTTTTCTCCGTATCAAAGAAGCATTTGTGTGTTGTCTTGCACAAGTTATTGCGAATCTTGAACAATACTTTAAATGTTGTCTCTTTTTCTACCCATTTTTGAAAAATTTCGATCTCTTATTGTACGTTATCGTGTTTTTTGGGTCCTTTACAACCTTGTGACACAATATATTATTACAACGATGCCTTTCTTCATGGTGCACCTGACTACCGACTGGTGGTTCTTCTTTCAAAATGCTACCGACCCAAGGACTGAGATAGGTGTTTCACCGCCTCAAATCTATTTATGATCTTAGGACTAGATCATTTCTAGTCGATTGGTTTGTGGATACATGCATTTAGTTAACACCATGTAAATATTATTATTATTATTATTTTCCTGTTTTGTGTTTGTATCTTTTAAATGTATTTCATTTTCGAAAACTCTCCCAGTACTTTTCGACAGTCACGTGAACTGTTTACATCTTCTGCAGGCCAGAATTTATTGCAAGAAACAACTCTTAATTAATTTTAACGCAATTCAGAAAAACCTTCTGGATTTTTTCATAAAGTTTACATAATTGTTATAGTCCATTTATTAATTAATTATTAATAAGTTTAATTTCTGAATTGTTTTCCCCACTTCTTTTAAAATTATATTTCTTTTATGGTGCTTTGTTATATATATAGCATGCATTTTAAACTGAATCATTTGAAGCTCTTAAAAATTAATTTTCAGCAAGAAAATATATTTTATCACTGCAGAACAATAATGAACAATTCCGCGATTTATCATTATAGAATTTTTTAGTAAATTTACTTTACAAAAGTTTAATTTTGGTTTACTAAACTTTTTTGGAACTGTGCAGGTCACACATCATTTAAATAAATCTTTCTGTTTGTATATCATCAGATATATATCAATAATATTAATTTTCGCAAAGATGTAATGAAATTCTTATTATTTTCCAACAAGCAGAGAAGTAAAAATTAAAATTTTCTGCTTATTTAACTTTAATTGAAAAAGATTATTTCATTATAAGAACCATTCAGCTCTGACTTTATTATATTCATTAAATTTTTACAAAATATTAAAAAAATTATTTAAAAAAAATAAATCATACGTTTTGTGTCCAAGTCATTAAACCAAAGCCCTGTATTTAATTTATGCAGCCAAGAAAGTCGTTTTCGAGAAAGAAATTTTAAAGTACCATTTTCTAAATGGAGCAAAAGTTATTTAATGAACAGATTTTATTAAAAAAACTATTACGAGTGATATTTAAGTTCTTTTAGTTAGATTATTTCATTATTACCAGCGATTTTTAGTTCTTTAAATTTTAACATATTCTGTAGTATCGAGTCACAGCAAATATCTTGCAATTAGCTTTGTTTCAAACCGTTTTCTGAAATATTGTAGTAATTTTTATTTTTATTTATTAATCATTTTTAATAATTTAATAATCTATATTTATTATATTCCTTCCGAGAATTTTCTACCCGGTAGTAGTGAATCTCCGAACAAATAGTTTGACCATAATAACGATATTATAGAATCCTAAAGGCGAACTGTTAACTTAAACTTTTTACAAGGCAAAGAATCATTCCCCTTCCCCAATAATAATATAACTGAACTTTAATGTAAAGCATATAATAGAATTATAATAGTATATTTTAAACGCCATAAAACTTGTTGTATTTTTCAATTATAAATTATATGTGACATCCTAATGAGCTCTAGACTTGTCTGACTGTTTACCGTTTAAATGTACATTTATTCTCTAAAGCCTTTTTTTTTTCCTGAGGGAGGATTTAGAATACACAGCTAAAATACATAATTGTATAATTAGTTACTTAAATTTGTTTTTCTTATACAGAAATGTTTTTGTTTGCAGAATATTCTGAGAAAAGGAACTCTTATTTCTTAAGAATTATTTGCTTAAAACACCTAATATTCTTCAAGACGATATCAAATAATATTTCTTCGCTGCACTTTTTTAAATATTCAAGGCACTATTCTGTATTTTGAAATGCTTTAATATCATTAATTTTTGCATTTGAAGCGAAAAGAAATGAGCTATTTGACATGTCCTAAAATAGTGGGAGAGTTTAACAAAAAAATCCCTGTCCTTTTGCTCAGTCCATAAACACTGGTGCCAACTGATAACAAAACCTTCTGATGTTCTCTGTTACCCCGAGTGATTTGTTGATATCCAAATCCTTCCGAAAGATGAAAGCAGAAGGATTTTAAAAACCCGACCTGTGTTGTGCAAGAAGTTCTTTTTATATGATGCATGTAATGCACACCACATACTTGTTCTTACACTGTTGATATTTAAATAATTGGAATTGCTTGAATTACTATTAAGTACTATCTGAGTATGACTCACAGTATTGTGTTTAGCACAAATTTTTATCAGTTGTTTAACTTAATGGAAATATGTTTATTCCTGGCATGGAACATGTTCATGATTTCAAACTGTTCACCTTCCTCTTGCAATTTCATTAAGAATATTTTCTTATGTAACAGTTATGTTTTTTAATATATGTGAGTAGGTCCAAAAATACGTTCGTTAAGTATCCTAACGTAACAGCGAATTTCTTCGTTTAGTAACTCAGTTCTGTTGTTCAACACTTTTCATCATAATCACTTAAAAGTTTACAAATGCACTTTAGTGAGTAAAAGCTCTTTAGTTAACAATTTTTATTAAAAATAAAAATTTTCCAAGTGGTATTTAAGTTCTTTAAAATTTAACATACATTATTCCAATCGCAGCATATATCTTATAAAAGATTTTGTTTTAAATATCTTTCCTTCGATTTCTCACAAATTTGTACTTATTTTGATTTTATAATAAGTTATAGTAATTTAAAAAGCAATATTTATGTTATTTTTTCGAAGAATTTCGTAACTGTTTCAAATTAATCTCCGATTACAAATCTTTCAATAAAAATGAAGTATTTTTTATTCAAATATCAGAATTCAGCTATTCAACAGCTTTCAATATAAACACTTAAAAGTTTAAATTCGATTTCCTAAATGAGATAAAATTTATTTGAGTAACAGTTTTTGCATTCTTGTGCATTTCATATTTGTATTCGCCAATGTTGATGCTTTTCATTAGACTATAAATTCATTGTTCGTATTACTCTCAAAGTAGATGATGACATCACTTGGGAATTAATCTGGTTCTAGTTTCGTCTTAATGTTAGAGTGTTAATGTGATGTCAGAAGTATTCTTGCTTTTCCTCAAAATAAATCTTATGTGGAGGGAAAATTGTTTGTTGACTGAGATAAAATACTATCCCATTGTTCCTGTTAACTCTCTGATTCGTATTATCCTTTGCAAAGTTATTATCCTGTTACTGGGTCGTCCTGGCGATGTTATTAAAGCAATTCAGAAGCAGTCATATAATGTAAGGAAGGAAGCTGTTGTGAACCAAAACTTGCATGAACAGATAATGCTAAGTTGATCAAATGTTGTCCATCTATTACTGATAATCCTTACTTACAGTATACTTCTTAAGGTTAGCTATCCTTTTTTTTTCTTTGATTGCCTTGATATCAATCCTGGAAAAGTTGTTAACATCCTGAATAAAGTTGATATATTACGTCATTACGTCAATTCTGCAAAAATTGATAATCTGACAGTGAGAAATTTCATTGAGAGTCGCGAGCAATGAGTCTGTCTTCAGCAGTAAAGCATTGGCATGGGTGGTGATTTGAGTATTTTAACTGTATGTATGAAATTGCTTTTTAATCTCCCGTCAGTTGCAAAGGAATAATATATTTTTTGATTAATCTTAAACCAGGGGTGTCAAACTGGCGGTCTGCGAATATATTTCAGTTATGTATTTGTTGCAAATATGCTTTCACAAAGATTTCAAGATTTTAGAATTTCTTGTTTATATTATTTTCAATTCCATTAAACGTGAACAACGAGAAAGAAATTTTGTGAATGTAGTTAGTTAATTTACAGTGTGATATAAATCTTATTCAAAGCTTTTAACGTACAGGTTTCACTTAGTTTATATTATTTTTCGTACTTGTTGAAAAATAAATACTCAATTACTAACTTTTGTACTAAGAATAATCATTTTGTTTAGGAATATATTTATAAGCAAAATAGATTTTTTTCACAGTTGAAAACTGATAAAGAACACATGACATGTGAGCATTTACAATGCAAGATAATTTCCGGTAATTTCTCTCCAAGGCTACAAACTTTATTGGAATTTAATATCATCAAATGTGGAGCTGTAGTAAAACATAAAGAATGTATAATTATTTGCATACAAACACATGTATTTTTATTTATGCGCCGAAGAAAACTTTAATAAATATGAGAAAAAATTAGCTTGTTATTATTTAATTTAAAATTTTGTTCCACTTGGAAAAATTTCTCTGAAAACTTCAAATTTTTTATAATTTGTGTATTTTTAGCTTAAATTTAAATAATTTAATGATTGGTTAAAAATGCTAATTATTTGAAAGGAATATCAGTCTGTTTGAATTACAAAGTTTAACCAATAGATCTCTTGCGCTTTCCAAAGTTAAGATTTCAGGTAGAAAACAAAAATTAATTTGAGTTTTATCCTTTTATGGTCTTATTATTATTTTTTACGTCACGTTTTCATAAATATTTATTAAGCGAAATTTAAAATTTACTTAATTTTTTTTTCAATTTTGTTAATATTTTTTTTTTATTTTGTAGAGGGGCCCCTCAATTGTTTTTAGATTGTGCATGCGGCCTGCATACAATTTCAGTTTGACACCCCTGCCTTAAACAGTTAAAATATTTTAAATATTTTGCAGAATTTTCTTCCGCCTGTATTTAATACGGCTTTCTTCTACTGTTTAATATTATGGAAAAATTTGATGGAAACATACTACATTAAGTACTTATTTCTTCTGAATATTTTTCAGTAATGAGTTATAATTGATTTAGTTGATTCGAAATCTTAATAATGATATAAATTCAAAATCGAATAAAAAATTAAATTTATACTAATTCATTTTTTTATTTGGAACAAACTTTCAGTTTAATTGGATTATGTTGAAATCTCGTCCAACATTCTGATATTGAATAAAAATGCAAATAGTGAATACTCAATATTTTTAAAATATCAATATTTCAAACTGTGAATAATTTTAAAAAACACTGCTTTAGAGAAATACAGGTATATAACATTTAAAGTAGCTGCAAATCTGACTACTTGATTTTTTTTTAATCTGCCAATTAGGAAAAGAGTTTTGAATCTTTGTGATTAATTGAGGTTGAAGCTAAAAAAAAATATTTCGTGCAATAAAAACATGTCGATTATTGTTAATTATTCCTAATTATTCCTAATTTTTGACATGAATCCATACTTGTCCAATACTATGTACCTTTCTTTATTTAATAAACACGAGTAAGTTGGAGCATCATTAACATTTTGATTTCGTGGTCATAGTTTTATAGAAGAGGAAGGCGGATTGAACACATGTAAAAACTGCCATGTTGTTTTCTAATCTGAATGTAAATTTTTGTTCTGTGCTGTAGACTATGGATTGAGAATCCTTATGGTGCTCTTATATGTCTCATTTGTTACTTCTTATAAATGTAATTATTTAATCTTATTATTCTCATTGAAATGTTATTTTACACAGGATTTACTGCTTTTATCCCTATTGCAGCCAATCACAATTTGTTGAATGTAATTGTGGCAATAATGCAATGCAGCTGTGCTTTATAACTTCCAGTTTTTCATGCAGCTACTAATTTATTAAATTATTTTTCATCGTAGACTGGTGAAGGAGACAATAGGAAATTTTTACGTCATTCGTTTGGCTAAATTTCATTCTCTTTGTCTTGTTGAAAAATATCCGCTGATGAAATTTTTATGTTTCTTTTTAATGCTCACACATTTTCATAACAGAGGTACATTATGAAATGTATGAAACTAGAGTGCATTATAAATACACGTATATATAAACTTATATATTTTCTTTTACGTGCATGAATTAAGTGGAATGTAATTATTTAAGTTTTAGTTGACCGTTACATTGACTTGATAAAGTATTTCTCTTTTTGTTTATTTGTTTGTTTGTTGATTGTGTTTGAAAAAAAAATGTTGTATATATATTTCACTTTCAAATTCATATATTAGAATTAATAAAACACAAAAACCAAATTTTTGGTCTTAAAAAAAATGCCTTTAAGTTTTATTTATTTATTTCTTATTTATTTATTTTTTTTTACTATTAGCTTTATTCTTTTGTGCACAAATCTGTAACAACTGGAAAAATTTCCTGCATAGTGTCTACAATCACCAGTTTACCTGAAGACAAATTTCAGGCACTAAGAATTTTTTGTAGCTTTTTGTTACTGAAATTCATACTGTGTGTTTTTTAAGTCTAGTCTGATTTTTTTTTAACTTTGAGATCGCACCAAAGAAAAATACTTTTGGAAAATTAACACAGTTTTCCGGTCAACATTTGCAGTTACAAATAGGAAGGTAAAATAATAAATGAATTTTAAACTGCATAAATCCATTATAGGTGTACATTCTTACAGGTACTACATTTTTAATAAATTCAATTTTATAAAATATAAAGCAACTCCTAAGGATAATAAATATAATAATAAAATAACTTTAATTATTGAAGAAAGTACTAAATAGAAAACAAAGAATTTAAATTACATTATTTAATTTAACAATACAAAGTACAACACTTTAAATAACAATACAAGATATATTTTTATTTAAACAAGCAATACTGTGCTATGATTAGTAGCTTTATTGAAACATGATACTGTATGACTTTCAATATATTTCAAGTATATTTTTAAAAATAGGTTACATTTTTAAAAGCATTTTTAATCATGAGTTGCAGAACAACTAGATTAAAATTTTCGATTCTCCTAACTAACAATGAGTAAAATTGTAATCTTATAGCAAAATACACTGTAGATTCACAGATTCTCCTTAAACAGTCCATAACTATCCAATTATAATAAAATAATTGTCAAAGCACCTGAATATCAGGTTTTAATCTTAAAGCATATACTAGAATAATGAGTTTCAAAAAATTATCTATGGAAGTTTCATGAGCGATCATCTAAACTTTCAAACCGATATTAAAATTTTTTCCCAGATGATTATTAATATTAGTTCAGTAGCATATTTTATGCATTAAATCGATACTTCGTTTATAGTATTGTTGTATATTAAATGTTTTTAAAGTATTTACTCATTAGGAACATAATATAAAATTATAATGAAATTTCAAGGAACATAAGCACTTGCAGACAGCCCTTTCAGACTACAGTAACAACATTATCCATACACAAGCATCCCAATATTATAATATTACTTTTATTATTTGTTATCTACAAAAATAAAATAAGATGATGATTTAAAGTAATTTCAAGAATTTAAATATGTCAGTATATATTAAATTTTACGAAGTTAAAGTAAAATTGCAAATATTTTGCATTTTGTAAGGTAAAAAGGGTATTTCAAGAAACATTTTAAACTTTTTATCTTACCGTAATAATAATTATCAATTTAAAAAAAAAATATTGCAAGTATTTCACGGAATTATTTTATTTATTTATTTGGAAAATATATAAAAAAGTCATCCCCGAAACATGGCTTTATTTTACACAAAATAGTATGTGCCCGATTTAAAGCTGTATCCTAAATATCTTTTAATTATAATATTTGTTGCTATGTTATTCGCAGTGTTTTCTTTGGTGCGTCTTTATTTTTCTATTTCTTCCTTTTCTGCGTTTCTTTAATTTACGTATATGAGCTAATTTTAAAAGACCAATACGCAAAAGTGAGATGTTGCAACAGGAATGCACAAGCCTCCGAATTTGTATGGAATTTTATTTCTCAGCTGTTTTAAACGTACCTTTTAAAGTTGGAACCTAGAAAACTATCATTTTTTGTGCAATTTTTATGACCGGGGACAAATGTTTGTTAGTGCGTGAGATAACATTACGAATCAGACTAGTCTAACCATTATTTCATGCACATTTGTTTTAGTAATTTGTTATACTTTTGACGTTTTGAGCCCTCTTCGAAATATGATTAGAAGAGGGACGAAAAAAAATTCAAACTCACCCTCCGTTCTCCTGTTTTTGGTCATTTTAATATACAGTCCTCTGTGATGGCGTATGTTACAAATATTATAAACTTAAATATATTATATATAAATATATATATACATACATACATATATATATATATCTCTGTACATAAGTAACATGCTTTTTCGAGATATCTGAATTTGAACTCTCAACTTTTCACATGTACGATAAAGCAACTTTTCAATTTTTCCTTCCTAAACCCTCCCCTTTTTCGAAGTCCTTTTTCTGTAGTGGGTAAAATCATTCGGTCGTTGCCGATTATATTTGCACAACAAATCTTCTATATATAAATACCAAACTTTTTATGTCGATTACACAGACTTTCGCAGAGAATAAATAACGTAGAGGGAGCTGCAGTAGCGCGTTGGTTTACGCATGCGTCTCTCTCTATTTTGTGATTTTTCATCATGCGTGTTTCTTCCCCAATTTTGGCGAGATTTTTTTCTCGTGTGTTGCAAATGTTTTAAAATTTTTTTTCGAATTCTCTAGTAGAGAGACATAAGTTAGTACAATGTAATAAATATTTCATCAAATACCTTTGCCTTGTATTGCAGGCTATTTTTATCTATGACCCTTCTCCTCCAAAACTCCGTTCAATGTCTTCTAAGCTTGCTCTGATATATGAAAAACGGAAGCCTGTATGTTTGATATTCAGATTGATATTACTATTTTTATTCCACTTTCAAATGATAATAAACTTAAATCTTCTCAGCCATTTTCAGAGACTCCTTTTTCTTATTATTCTCTACGACTTATATCACATATTCTGTACATAACTTCAATTTCACTAATCGCAGATTAATCATTATTTATTATTGTAATTTTAGCATTTTGTAAACTTTAAAAGTATATTGTCGCTTATAGCAAAGCTTCAAGCTCCAAGAACCCTTCTTTGAACATAACATTATTCAATATAAATAAATTTTTGTTATGTTACACGGTTTTAATTTATTGCATTAAAGAGTTTAACTACTTTATTAAAACATTAAAGAGTTTTACTATCTTTTTAACTACTACAGAGTTATTTATTATGTACAGTTAATAAAAACCATGTGTCTGCTAAAAATGTCAAAGTGAAATTTAAATCAGTTAAAGTCATTTTTAGATATGTCATTTATATAGTAACACTTCCATTCTTCCTGAAATTTGTTTCATTTGTCCAATATATTTTTATGGACACTTCGTGATTTTATTTTTAATCACAAAAAAAATTGTGATAGCTAAAGGGATTATTTTTTAATTAAAATTACAGCAAAAATTGAAAAGT